CTATGTATAGATATAGAGAATTCATTACTTTCTCTAATAAACTCATATGTTCAATAGTGGAAATTCAAAAATTGTCAGCATGGTTACTTGAAGAAAGAAACAGCATTGCAAACAGATTTACACATATTATTGATGATCTTAATACAATTATATCCATGAAATGCCATTTATTTCAGGTTCTCTGTATTAAGTTAGACACATTTTAGAATGACTGTGTATAGCTTTCACGACTTACCTCACTAAAAGGTTCTTTGATATCATCTCGCTCAATACTGCTCTCCTAAAAAAGACAACCACAGCAGCACTAGTTACAAAATTGAAGCTAACAATATAGCAAATTTTTTTCCAATACCATGAGATGTACATCAATACTAAGCAATTAAAAAGAATCTGCAGATTCTACTCACATAGTTAGGAAATATGACCATGTCAACATGACCAGGAACATCAAGGAGCAACTGTCTTAAAGAATATTCCCGAGCACCAGCTGGGTGTATTAATTCATCTGTATCAAGATGAAGAATCCAGTCCATGCCAGAATCCTGATATTTCAATTTCAACAAGCAGAACACTGTGTTTATACAACGAATTACACACTAAACCATATTTAAAAAAAAATGGAGTAAAATAAGGATTAGTGCAACAAAACAGTTTGTCATACCCTTGCCATAACAATAGCCATCTCCATGTTGAGAGATTGCTTCACAAAAAGCTCATAATTGCATGGTTTATAAAAGAAACCCGCCAGCCATGTCTCGTTCCAAATACGGCTGATGCAACAAACAAAATAAATAATTAGTATAACCATCTCTTGGAATCTTACAATTTAGAATAACAAGTATCCTGAAGACAAAAGGGAAATGAACTATTCTACAAGAACATTAACAGTATAACATGGGCTAGTAAAAGAAATAGAATTTTATAGTCATGAGCATGACCAAAAATAATTAGACAACAAAAAAAAACTAGATTAATTACATGCCATTATGGACATGCTAAAACATCAAACTATTAAGGTTAAAAGCATCCAACATATATCAATTTACAAATCAAGAAACTCCAAAACACACTACTCTATAAAATTGTAAATTGAAAAACTCAACTGAACAAATAAGAATCAGAAAGAAAATGATAAAATTGATTAACCTCTTAGCTTGTTGCTCTTCGAGCTCTTTTGTTCTATAAATAACCTTCACACCCTGGTTTAAACAACAAAAACGAAATTAGAATAGTATTATTATATAAGAGAAAGGAGGAAGGCAAAACAGATAAAAAAACAAGCAAATCTTGAATCCTGAGATGGATAGAATACTGTTTGTCTACTTACGGGAATTGATTCCAGGACATTTGATACTTCAGGAGAAGCAGCCTTCCCCTCCACAAAAAGGAAAAAATTTGTCACACCAATGACTTTATGATAAAACATCCAAGGTAGAATCTGCTCAAGCCCTGCAGATGTACTAGTTGTAACGCAGATCTGCACATCAAGAAGGACATGTGGCTCAAATCAACAGCAACTCAGAGACTTCCCAAGAGATATGCAGAAATAAAGTAAATCATGTTCTCATACTAAAACTGAAGAATGAGAAAAACCTTTCTTTCAATAAAATAACTTAAGGATAAGAACACTTTTTAACAATCATATTTTTCACGTAAAAACTTGCTACTAACAAAAATTATCTGAATTGACCAACAATGTCTCCAGCACAACAGATCACAGAAAAGCAAAAAAAAACACAGATCTTATTTGCAACATTTGCTCTAACGCAATCAAACCCATCAGCAGAATCAACTCAAATGAACATCCCAACAAAATCTGCAAAGATACAAACAACTAATAACAACCTTCACATAATCAATTACAATAAATCAATCCCATATAAATCACTTGACTTCACACACCAAAACTAGCTCAAATTACTCCAAATAAATCCATCTCAGCCCGGATCAAACTCATGAAACCCAAAATCAAGATCCCCAACATATAGCAAGCCCTTTTGCTTCAAAATGCTGCCATAGAAAGGGGGAAAAGACAAAATACGCAACCCCCATAGACATTTCCAATGATAATAATAAAGAAAACAAAAATTTGAAATCCCTACTTTTTGGTTCAAACTGCAGGCAGAATGGAACAAACAAAGAATTTAGAAAATAGGAACACCCTCTAATTCTAATGAAATTGGAAAAGCAAAGGAAGGGGGAAGTGGAGAAACGAAGCAAAAAAAGAGACCTTGGGGGTGAGAGAGGCTCCAAAGTCGAGCTTCCAGTTGTGGTAGTAAGGGAAGGAAGGGGAATTGGTGCGGCCAAGATTGACGCAGTCAGAGTGAGATTGGGAGTGAGCGAGATGGGAGAGGGAAGAGGGTTCCATGCCGGGGAAATAGTGGTGGGACCGACCGGGAGAGGAAAGGGTGGTCGGATCGGTGATTCCGCCGCGCCATTGGAGGATGAACGCGATAGCGGCCAAGGACACGGGGAGGAGAGTGAGGAGGAGCAGGATCTTCGAGGTGAAAGAATGGGAAGAAGAAGAGGAAGGGGTCGAACGGAGAGGATTGTAGAGGTGGTGGTTGTTGGGGAGGGGCATGGTGGTGGTGACGGTGGATGCGGTGGTTCGCACGCACCCGACACGGTTGTCACACAAGGCACCGAACGAGACTGTGACTGTAAGAAGGGTGTCCACTGTCAAACGAAGCTCCTTTCCTTTTAAAAATGAAAACAGTAAAAAATTCCCAAATCTCCAACACTGACACTTCAATTAAAATTCTTGGTAGATTGTAATTTTGGTTCTTTAATTTTTATTTTTTTATTTGTGCTTTTAGATTTTCATTAATTTTGGATTTTATTTAAATTTGAAAATTATAATTATAGATCTAATAATTAATTTATACCCATCTTATTTTCTTACTTTTATTCAACTAAATGTCAAATCTATTACCAAATAATTAAAGTAATTAAATGTAAAATTAAAGAATTGAATATATATATATATATATATATATATATATATATATATATATATATATATATTTGAGGATTGAATCCATATATGTTTTCTAACATTTGAGAACGAAAATAAAAAAAATTATAAATTGAACTAAAATTTATATAAAGGAGGGATAAAATATATATTTCATTCGATCACTATTATAACTATTTATGTTTAATATAATTATAATATTTTATTTAATTTTTATATAATATAGTGATTTGTATAATAATCTTTATAGTTTTAATGATAAAAAAGTTTGATTTTATAAAAAAATAATTGTAAATATTTATTAGGAGAATAATTAAATTTTCTCTCCCATATTTAATGATTTATGTTACATAAAACTTAATGGAATAATTAATAATTATAAAAATAAATAAATAAAATAATTATATTAAATATAAATATTTATCATAATTATTATATAAAAATATATTTTATAAAAAATCAAATTAAGTGTGAGATTCATCAAATAACAAAATTTATTGGAGTGCTTATGGTGGTAATAGAGTTAGAATGTATATGTATATAAAGTTTGGTCTCATTAATGTTATTGTACTCCTCAAACAATAGTCATTAAGTGATATACTTCTTTATTTTCTAAAAATTAGGTAACAATAATAATACATTGGAAAGTGTGTTAACTATAAAAATTGTGTATCAAAAGATAAATTATTATATACTTAAATATGTTTTTGGTTTGTAAAATGAAAGTATTTTGATTTTGGTTTCTGTAATTTTTATTTTTTAAATTAAAATTTATTATCTTGCTTTGTCAAAAATTGGATTAAGTCAAAGATTTTTAATAAATGAGAAATTTAATCCAAAAGAAAATCTTTTTTTTTAATTATTGCTTTGTACATTCAAGTTTTATTTTTTGTTAAAATTTAATTAGCATTGAAAGGGCTTTATTATTATTTGACTAACAATTTTTCAACTTTGGAATCTAGAAGAGAATTTACACCTAACTTAAAAAGTAAAATCATACTTAAACAAAAATTTCCCTACCCTACACACCAGTAGATATTTCAGTAATCTACTCTCTTTCTTAACTTGTATTAATTTACCCAAAAATTCTTAATATTTTTTCATAACCAAATTGATTATCTATTTGTAAAAATCATCTCATATAATCTTTATATTCTTAATTCTTATTTTGAATAAATTTATGTATGATTTGATTCAACTTTACCTTCTTATTTTTCTCTTCTTACTTCTTATTTTTCTCTTCTGGTGAAAATGTAAACCATAAGGCTTGAAAAGTACACTCCAATCATTTATTGTGAATGATAGAAAGTTTCATGAACAAGACATTCCCGGGTTTTGGCTGGTCAGAATTGAAGTCTCACCTACCTAAACTTCCAAGGGCTCCTCCATCAGTATACAACACCAGAAACAAGAGAAAACAAAGACACTGCACCCTCTATATACAGAAATTATTCCAGCAGAGATCACATGCTCTAGTAAGTAACATTAGCTCTAACAAGCTACCATCTTCAAATGCTATGCTTTCCTCAACGAGGTTGGTGAATTCGGTGAGAGAGACACTTGATGTTCACACACTGTGCTGGCTTCTCATGATGCTTTGCATGCCCAGAAGGGGACATAGGACCCCTTTCCTTTGGTGATTTTGGTGTCATGTTGATAAGAAGAGCTTTAGCATCCTTGTTCAGACCTGATTAAGAAACAACTTAACTCAGACATTGTAGTTGTTCTATCTCACGCTAACTACAAACTGAGATGTAATATGGAAAAGGAAAGTTCCTTTCAATTGTACCAATTCATGTTGTAAGAATCCAAAACACAAACATACAATCATAGTAAAGAATAAGCATTTCAAATGAACTTTTAAGTTATAGGTTAATTCATCACAAACTTGTAAACTAGTGGAAGATGCACAATACCAGCATAAAACATAGTATGATTGAAACAAACTTGCTTTTCAAATAGCATTTGAGATAAAAGAATTCCTATAAACAGTCACAGATCAGTTATATTTATCTTCAATGCTTACCATAAGGAGCCACTTTTCCATCATTAGGATCATCCTGAACAAGATGATCTTGAACTGCAGAGGACATCACTAACTGCTCAAATTCGTTTTCTAGAACATTTAAGTCTTCTTCCATGCTTAGATCAAAAGCTTCTGAGAGCATATTCTCCAGATCATCATTAGTAGAGTCATTACCAACTTCTTCAAACTCTTCCTCCTTATGTTGACTCAACCAATAATCACGAAACCATGTTGAAGACTTCACAAGATCCCACCATTGAGGTGAAAAATCCTCCACCTGACGGAGAGCAGCAGGGATGAATAGAGGTGCATTTGGGTTAAGAGCAGAACATCTTCCAGAGACCAATGCCATCACACCTACACAGCCAGTTACACTAACTTGAAGTCAATCCATCAAAACAAACTATCAATTTACATTAACTATAATTTCATCATATCAATGACACCATTCAGGACTACCCATATCATATCAATGACACCATATAAGAACTAATTGCATAACTTACGATTTTCAATATAGAAAAAACATTAAGCCCTCAAAGATTTTTATTTTTATTTTTTTCAATTATGAAAATTTTTGGAAATGCTTTTTGATTTGAGATTTTTTCTTCTAAAAAAACTACAGACAGGTAATTAGAGATTCAAAGCGGTCCAAGCAATGAGGTTCAAACACAACAGGAAGTCATAGAGAATTGATATATATATATATATATATATATATATATATATATATATATATATATAAATATATATAAATATATATATATATATATATATATATATATATATATATATATATATATATATATATATATATATAAATGTAGTATCACTCTAAAAAAAAGAAAAAGGAAAAGTCTTTCTACCTTTACTTTGACTCCTTAAAAACAAGCTATTGCTGGGAAGATCTATAATTTTGGGAGTTTATACCAGAAAATAGAATAAACAAACAGATCTCAGAATCTAATCAACCTAGTGAACATCCACTGCAAGAGACTCATCACCACACCTTGATTTAAGATTTAACCATCACAAGAAAAAGAAACGCAGAATACATTATATCCATTCAAACCAGAAATCCAAAGAACCAAAACAACATAGCCAATGATCACTAACAAGATCAAGCCCCCACCCACCTCCCTATCAAAGAAAAAAAATAAAAAAATAAAAGACCAGAGACTTAAAGTGGATGGACTGACTAAAGAAACCACCAATCAAAACCAGTGGGGAATAAAATAAAAACAAACAAAAAATCCAATCTTTTTAGCACTGTTCTCACCACACACAAACAAAATTTGCTGTGCACAATAGGATCACTGTACTAACATTAAAAAGGAAAGATAAAAAGTACAACAATTGGGTTATAGCTTCATTCACTTGAAAGAAAAGGTCGGTGCACAGAAAACTAACTAAACCAGAGTAAGACCCCAAAAGAAAAAAAAAAAACTTAATATTACTATCCATACAAAAACACGATCTAGTATAACACATAAGACTTACAACAACGTACTACCATATAAAGTAAGAAAGAAATAAAAAAAAAAAAAATTTGAACGAGAAAATTGCACCCATCAACACAAACATATGAGGAAAACATGATGATGCTCCATGGTCACCTAGTTTTAGGATACCCAACACTGAAGTTGTTGATTTGCGAAGACAGATCGCAATTGCAGAGTGAATGAGTGAGAAACAGAAAGGAAAATAAATAAACGACAAAGAGAAAAAGTGGATAAAGAAAAAGAGACAGCAGCCTCGAGCTTTGGGACTCCCGAAGCTAAGGTTACGAAAGAGTCTTTTAGCGAGTGGACTTGACACGTGTCAGAAAGTGACAAGAGTGATCGACGGTGGAAAGAGAAAGGACTGATCTGACGGTCAGAAAATGAACAGGTGGAGTAGATATTTTGAGATAAGGTTCAGCCATGAATAGTAACCTTCTGGGCTATAGTAACAAGATAAGGGTGGCTTTGGAGAGATTAGCTGTGGGCGGTTCCACGGTAATTGATATTTTAAATTAATCGCATCGTTCCAGTTTATGAGATCAGGTCTTGGAACTTGGGATTTTTTTTTTATTATTATTATTTATTAGAATGTTTCTCTTTCTTCATATTTTAAATTTAATCAAATTAATTAATTAAATAAATAAATATATAAATAAACCCAGGTATTCTCCCTACCTTATTCTGTATAATAATATTTTTAGATTAATTTTTATGATTAAAGTAGTTTCTTTGGATTTTATCATTAAAGGATGATTTTAAAAATAAAATTACGATGAGAGTTTAAAAACATATAACTCAAACGTAAAATTAAATTTAATAATATTATCATCGAAATATAAAATCAAAGACATTTTTATTAATAGGGAAGTCTCACTCCACTTGTAATATTTATTAAAATTTATATTCTAGTAAATTCATAAATCGAGTCCTATAATAATAAGATTTAATATCAACACTAATTTATATATATATATATATATATATATATATATATATATATATATTTTTTTTCTTAACTCACAAATTATTTTTTAAAAATAAAAATTCTAAAATGATTCAAGATGAAAATTAATCCTAGTCATAATATTCAGAAATCTAAACTCAAGAATTATAATAATTTTTCCATTCTCCATCGGATCAAATGATACACCATTACTGTATTAAATTTATTCTACAATAATTAAAACATTGAGGGCTATTAGTTAATGGTAGGTAGAGCTTAAGATTCCCTTGGTTCACAAGACAACACCTGCAAAACAAACATGAAGAGAAAAATCCTATAAATACAAATTCCAAAACAATTGAGAAAAAATGTTGGAAAAAAAAATGTACCTAATTTGGTTTTGATGTTTCTAAACATCACTGTGTAGGAATTGGGCGCTGGAGGATTTGAGTTCGTGGAACTTGGTGCTCAGCAAATCCACTGGATTTGCTATTTGGGAAGTGATTGAATACATGTGAATCTGTTTCAATAATGAAAAAATTTGAACTTGAGTTTTTGACCTAAAATAAAAACTCAATTTTTTCATATATATATATATATATATATATATATATATATATACCTCCACACTTTGTTCCAGAAGGTATTGGTCTTCCACATGAGTCTGCAACATAAGCAACCTTCTGCATATCAATAAGCTTCATCAGTGACTTGGTTAAGTGGTGACAGAGACATGAAACATCAGCATTGTTGATCTCAACACAGCACTGCTGTGATGGATTCATTTGAGGGCCAAACTTTTGAACATACACTCCACATTCGGTTATCAGACCCTCCATGCCAGGGCACTGCCCTACAACAACATCCCCACAAAACACTGCAACAACTCCTATCATGCCCAAAATCACAAGGTACTTGCTTTTCATCATTCTTCCCTTTTTTTTCTACAGTTGTTTTACTTGTGGATTAGAGGGTGTAGGAATTGAAGGGTTTTTATACTCTTATGTCAGGTCTTGAGTAAGAGAAAGAAGGACGCATTTGGATTAGGATCATCAAAACAATGTGTTCAAGAGTTCCTGTTACGTCCATCCAGTGAAACAAGAAGAATTTAGATATTATGATAACACGATGAGATAAGAAAGTAGATAAAGGAAAATAATAGATATTATTTAAATATTTTAAAATCAAAATTTCTACTTATTAACAAAAGTTATCTGTTTTGTATGGTTTAATTCAGATTATTTTTTTTATTATACATTTTGAATGGTTTATATTGAGAATGTTTTTCTGGTGGAATTGGCCCATTTTACTTTCAGTTCATCAAAGATGAGGTTCGATGAATCATGTTAATTAAAACGGATTATAAATTATATGTATTTAGTTGTAAGGTTTAGGGTAAAAATAATTATATGTATTTTTTTAAAGATAAATTTTTAGTTATATAAATATTTTTTAAAAAGTTTGTATCTATTAATTAATATTTTTATTGAATAAATTAAAAAATTTATTATATTTATATGTTAAAATAATTAATTATAATCAAAAATTTAAATTTAGTTAATATCTATTATTTAAATTATAATATATTTTGATATAATAATATATTATAAAAAAATAATTTTTTAACTATAATTTTATTATTTTTATTTTAATATATAAATATTTTTAAGTTGATTAATTCATTTTTTTTAGCTCGTGTAGTTGACAAATTAGGTGAAACATACCAAAATGAATTAATGAACTAAATCTATTAATCATCATCATATATGTATTTTCACTGCTTGTCTTTTATATTTTCATAAATCTACATATTTGATTTTTTATGGTAGTATCATTTCTATTTGAGATTGTTTTGAATAGTTAAAGTGACTAACTGTTAATGTTGTATATGAATTATATGTTTTTTTTTAATTCAGAACATCTAATATATAATATATTTATGTATTTTTAGATTAACTTTTTTTTAAAATGTATTTCGTAATACTCAAATTCTAAAAAGTGGGTTTGAACAACAATTTTTAAAAAGATTTTTCATAAAAATTTTTAATAATAGATTCTAAAATACATTTTCAAAACCTAATCCAACAAATCTTTTTCGGAAATGTATTCTCAATCCCCAGTCAGAAACATGTTTCCAGACAAAACTCTAATTACGTAAATACTGTATGTGGTAAAATATTGATACAAATTAAAAATAGTTGAAGATGCTTCCTTGTTTGTTACTAAGAATCTTAGAATAATTGGGAAATGAAGAATGAAAATGATTTATGATTTAAAATTCGGACATTGAAAGGTTGAAAAATCAGAAATAAATGGTGGAGAAAGACAGCGGAAAAGAAAACTGTCCCAAACAAGGTGTTTACTGACTTAGGCCCATGATTCCAGCCCAAGCCCATTATTAGAGGACAAAGACAAAGGGAATTGAAAACCAACCGGTGACAGTCTTAGGATTTTGAAAAGTGAAGCGCAGAATAATCTGGCGCGCCATGGTTCTGCAGCTCTAACCAGGTACCACGCCAACCCCAATTCACAAACCCACCACAAGAACCATCCCCACTCTCACCGTCATTCAACACGAACGAAACCCTAAACCGATGGAGAACCGGACCCAGGTTCGGTGCACGGAGAACCAAGAGCTGGCCGCGTACATGTGGAACAAGTGGCAGGAAATGGCGCAGCAAGCCAAAGGCATTTCTGATAACTTCGAAATGACCCTTTCCAAGGCCCACTTCAATGTCTGTAGCTCCAAAACCCCCATTCGAACCATCAAGGATTTCTCTCAAGTCAAGTACGTCTCTGTTTCTCCCACACCATGTTACCGTACAAATGCCACATTCTTAAAAATTGTAATTATATGGATATTAAGAAAATCAAATTAGTCTATGATTAGCTTGTCATGTAAGGAGTTTTTTTTTGGGTCACCTTGACATTAGTGCGAAATATCTACCATTCATGTTAATTTCCCTCCTGTAACCTATCTGACTACTCTTGGTGGGATTCCTTCCAACCATATTTTTTTCTGTCCACGAGGTTCCACTGAAGACCTTGCTTAAGGGATTCGAATTTAGTTCCACTTGGACTAACAACATATTTGTTTTTGGGTTTTAGTTTGTGCATTTTTGTTTCATTATGTTTTATGTTTATATCTTTGAAGATTTGTTCTTTAACTGACCCAAATGAGGTATATTATATAGTGATCCATGTACTTGGCCTTAACTAGTGAGAACAGACTTTTGTTGCTGTTTGTGGTGTTATGTTTAACATCATATTTAGAAACATGTCGTAGATTATATTCATAATTATAAGTGTGAGGGTATTATGTTGTTGTGTATTGCAAAACTCCAATTATATTTTAAAATTTAAAAATTATCCAAATTTTGATAGGTCGGTTATGGACCTTGGAGGCTTGAACTTTATTGTATAGGGGTTGTTGGGTCTGTATGTAGTGCTTGGTTCTACGTGTGTATTGGGGTGATTGTGAAGTGAGGATGGTAAAGGATGATGGAAGGGTGTTTAAATTGAGTTTTTAGGGTACTAATCTGATGATGCTCTTTTCTCTTTTCTGGAAGGGGTGTGGGGAAAATGATATTGAGGCTCATGCAGGGGTTTTTTGGGACTGGTTCTGGTGGTTCTGAACCCAAAGATTTGACTAAAAAGGGTATGCCTGTTGCTATATATTTATCTTTTCTGTTGTTTCAATTGACTTTACTTTTTTTTTTTCTTTTCTGTTTATGCACAGTTCTGTCTAAGTTTTCCTTTCTTCTCCTATGTTACAGGAAAGCAAACTAAAGGAACCAAACGTTATTTGCCTCAGAGGAACTCTGTCGCATATGCATTGTTGATATCCCTTTACAGGTAGGCATACACAATACAGTCATGCACTACTAATGTATATATGTTTGTTGGGTGAACCGTGTTTGGAAATTATCATGATAAAACTTGTTAGATGATGAAATTTTAACTCATTTTTTAATAGGGGAACTTCAAATGGGAATGAATTTATGCGGAAGCAGGAACTTATTGATGCTGCTGAAGCCAGTGGGCTATCTCGAGTGCCAATTGCGTATGTTTAGTTATTTACTGTTTCTGTTTTCTATGTTTAAAGTAGACAAGTATCTATGAAAATGTAGGCAGCTTTTGATGAATCACATTTTCATGACCAGGCCAGAAAAAGGGAAAGAAAAACCTGGACGTTTTGGAGGCTCTCCACGGGATTGGTATAGTGGATGGAATTGCATGAAGACCTTGATAGCTAAGGGATTAGTTGTAAAATCCAGCTGCCCTGCTAAGTATGTTTCCATTGTGCTCATGTATTTTTTTCACAATGTACTGCTAGTTTTTGTATATAAATATTTCTTTCAACCTTTTAATTATCTTTCACATTTTAAATTTCACTTGTTAGGAGAACCTTCTTACTAGGAACCTGTATCTAGTAATTCTTTTGTTGAGAGTTACGCTTGAGCACTTTTTTCCATATGAATGTGCTTCAACATTCGAGCCATGTATATAGTAACATCTGAAATCTTTTTAGGCATTGTTTTTATTTGTGATTCATTTACTAGTGAGCATTGTAGTTGTGATTTAAGTGTGTCTTCTATTGATTAATCTGCTTAGCAATGAAAAATTTAATTTAGTGCATGCTAATTTGTAAAGCCAGCAATTGTTAGAATGGTTTATGTTAAACAAATTTAAATTCTGAGATATGATTTTTCAATGAAACATGAAATTTGATATGTTCAAATGAAAATTCTCCATAGATGATTTCTGTTTTGTGTTCAGGTACATGCTAACTCAAGAAGGGAAGGAAGCAGCTAGTGACTGTTTGGCAAGATCTGGAATGGCAGAATCTCTAGAGAAGTCGACTTCTGTTGAAATTCCTTTGTATTTGGATAACCAAAACTCATTGGATGTGGAACCCAATGGTCATGACATGGAACCTGAGGTGCTGTCACCATTGACTCAGCAAAAGATGCCTATGGATGTTCCTCTTGATTGCCTTGGGAGGGTATTTTTCCTCTTAATTAAATTCCTTGTTTCTTTGTTTTGTTTCTTTATATTCATATTATTGAAATTATGTGTTCGATATGTTCATAAAACCTCAAACACTAACCCTGATATATAAATTTTATACCAATCATAATCCTAACTAATTAAAGAAGCTTTATCCTACTAAGTGAGGTCAGCTATGCAGATCTCATGACATCATTGGCACAATAAGATAAGAAACTACTGCAAAAGAGGCTTGGGATTGCTGAACAGGCATAGAAAGTTGTGGCCTTGTTGGCTTGAGATTGCTGAAAAACAGGGTACTGTGTACAAGATTGGGACTGACTATGAGATGGTTGATACAATTGAAAGAAGTTAGTAGAGTTGTTTTGAAACAGAGGGGTGGTAGTGTAGAAGAAGCAATGTGCCCACAACGATTGTAGACTTGACATTGAACCTGATTGCGACTGCCATGATTCCCTTTCTTGTTAGATTTTCCACATCTACCCCGATCTCCACTAGCAAATTGTTTATTACCAAGTTGATTTTGAGGTTGGTTCTGGTATCCTTGATTAGAGTTTTGTGAGTTGAAACTGTGGTGTAGGGTTAGGGTTTGATGAAGAATTTGGATCTGGACTTTGGTTGCCTGAGTCAGATTAGAATATAAGGTTTCTCCTATCTGTTTGACCTCTCAATACACATTTCTTGACCAACAAGAAGAGATTCAATCTCTTCAAAGCTGAACAAATCTGGTTGCTGTGAAGAACAATGGCAACAGACTTGTATTCAAGAGATGGGTTTTCAATAATGACAATGAGTTGTTCCTGTTCAGACACAGGATGTCCACTAGAAAGCCAAAACATCAACAATATGCAGTAGAAATGTAGAAATAGTGGAATCACTTTTCTCCAAATTTTGCAACACCGTGTGAAGTTGATGAGTATTCCCCTTCATCTGATTAGGAAGATAGCCATGGTTCAGGTTATTTTGCTTTGGCCATGTTGAAAACAGAGAAAGAGAGATTGTATAAATTCAAAGCAGTCACAGAAATTGAGTTTATCTATTTACACCAGACTGAGTTAGTTAGAAGACTAACTCATAATAGACTACTGACCTTACAACAGACTTGCCAGCTCAGCAAGCTGAGTACATTATATTCTATCAGATGGTGGTTGTGTGCTTAAAGTGTGACATATTATTTACCATGAACTTTTCTAACTGTGGGTTCTTTTTTGTTTGAGTATTTATATATGTAGTATAAACTATATATTTAGTTTGTATTATATTTAAAGTAGCGGCTGTCTTACTTCTTGCTATCCCATTATAACATTTTAAAATGTGTCTGCTATGTGTTATTAGTTGAGATCTGTAGCTATGAGTTGTACATGGCTACCTCTACTATAACAAGTTCATCTAAGGATTTAATTGGAAAATATAAGTAGAAGTGATAATCCATACAAAATTGCAAGTATTTATTGACACCCAACATATGTATAGATATTTTAAACTATTGTAGTTTTTATATATGAAATGCTATTTCTTGTATACCGCATCCTAAAATATGTGTAATTTAGTGTTATGTGTCAATGTTTGTGTTTGTGTTTCATAGGTTACTCCCTTTCATCCAAAGGAGGTTCATGAAGTTTATTTTCTAAAATATATTGTTTCTCTTCTTATTCTCTTGTCCGTTCACTTGCAGATGATTTTTCTTTGCTTGGTAATTGAAATGTATATTTTTTATTGTCTATTGCAATTTCTTTGTTTGCAGTTTTCTCAAATGGGTTACTCCAAGGAACAAATTATTAGTGCTTTTACTGAAGTTTCCGGAAGCCAGCCAAATAAAGATGTCTCATCTCTGTGGCCAGCTGTTCTATGTCATCTCCGAGAAGAACAAGTCTATGGCTCACAGCCAGAATCTCTATGTATGTTAATTGTTTCTTGATTAGTGCATATACTATTATGTTCTTTTCCCCTATCTCATAGTTTCGCAATGACACTAAGCAAATTTTGATCTCTATTAATCATTTAATTATTATCAGGTTCAAGAGATCTCACTGGAAAAGAAAGCAGAGCCGTGCGCTCATCTTGTGATGGGCATGTAGCAAACACTTGTTCGCGTGATATTCCTCCTTTCCCCTTGAGAGGTTGCTCTTCAACTGTATGGTTTGATCTATTTGCTAAAATTGATATACTTTTTATATTGTAAACTCTTTCTAACATAGTAATAGATTCATAATGTGTGTAAATATAATGATTAGTACTTCTCAGAATGATCAGAAATATTTTTCTTTTTTGTATTACAAATTTTGTTGGTTTTAAACACTTTTTTTTTAATTTTCAAAAGGATACCACTAAGAAGTATCATTTCTGTATCATAAAATACTGTAGAAATTAGATGTTGAGTAGTTGCATGAACATCATCTGCATTCATTTTATCTTTTGTTCCTTCTGTTCATGTTATCAGTTTTGCAATTACATGTGTGTGGCATAAGAGTAATATGATACTGCTTATTTCCTTTATTTATTATTTCAGTTGCACTGTCCGCTCTCATTTATCAAATTAAGCACATTAGACCGTAGTTGAACGCAAGTACACAACTCAGTTCCATTTCTTGGTTCCTCTGTTACGTCCAATTTAGTTGTTGAAATTGATATTATAAGACAATTTTCCTCTCACAATACGAATCCTCTTCTCGTCGAATTTCTTCTATTTATTTCTCAAAATAGAATTTCCCAGGACATAATAATCTACACTACACCTGTGCATGCTGGCACTTACCAATGTCAATAGTACCACATTCCTCTTTCAGACTTGGACTTGTGCCCAAATCACTTTAATAGCAAAATTTTTATCCCTTTATCAGTTCAAAACCTATTCTTTTCTTATGCCCATGTACACCTTCACACATTTCCTCTAACAAAAAATCCTCATGGATATGAAAGACTTAGACCTAGACGCTCTTGTGTCAACCTCATGGATTGCCTTCTCAGACCCTTGTAATGACACTTTTGAAACCGTTGGAAACAAGGTTGTGTTATCTTCAATATTGCATAAATACAAGCATTTTGAGTCTAAAATTTTTCATTTTGAACCATAAATAAAATATAGAATGTAAATCTAAATGAGAAAAAGGTATGCATAAGAGGATGATTTTGTTTTTAAATATCATGTGCTCATGTTCGTAGCATGTGCATTTTATTATTCTTACAGAATAGTTTAGACCTAGTTCAATTTTATAAAACTAGCTTGTAAGACAAGAATTACCCTCACTTATATACTGTATTTTAGCACTATCTTTAGTCAATGCAGGACTAAAGTTTTTCCCAATATACCCCTTTGCATCCAGCACTGTTGAGCTTGGTAGGGGTATAACAGAGTGAATGACCCTTTTAATGAATCTAGGATAGACTTTAATACCATATTCAAAGGATAGCCTAAGATTGAGTTAGATATAAATCACTCTGTAGGAATTATGTCAATGTAAACAGTTAAATTAGGTGAAATAGAAATGAAATTGATTTGTATGAAATTAGGGTTTAATATGCTTAACTTGGTTATTAGGGTGGAAACTGCAAATTAAATAATAAAGTAGATGGGTGAAATGGATTTGACCCTAACTTGTTTTCTTTATTTCATTGTGCTTATCTAAATTTTGGCTTATGCATTCATGCAAAGTTGTTTATAGTTTTTGAAACAAAATTTTGATATTAGTACTTGTGAATATCTTAGGACCATCCCATGCAAAATGCTAATAAGGATGAGCTTGTATCAAAGATGAACATTTTAAATGTTCCACCATTGAGCTTGGGGGAGAGATTTGAGGATGCTTATGACATAATTTTAATATTGGATGATCGGGAGCAATTTGCCACACAGGGGTTAGTAACATGAATACATTATTGTTTTCACTCATGATATTATATGATTCAATGGTGGAAGGTCGAATTCTGCCTAAAACATGCCACTGTGGTCTATGGAGCGGCCAAAATTGCTATGGCTGGTTAAAAATCTACCACGGCATTCTATCATGGCACCAATCGAGTTGCCAATTAACAACACATTATAGGCTAATTTTTTTTACTTTGCAATCAGTTAAAAATTTATGTCTTGATGTATAGTTAATTTTTATTTACAGCTCTATGGTGTATTGTCTGGCTTGCTGCTAATAACTCCAATGAATTTTGTATTTTTTGTTTCAGATCAAGATCCCGGAAAATTATTGAGAATATCTGCAGCCAATTTAAAATTCAAATAGAAGTGAGTTTGATGTCTTAACTATCTATATGTAGTTCCCTACTTCCTATTGCATCTCAAATATTGTATGTATTGTTTTCTGCATGTTGACAATATTATTTATTATGGAAACTGGCATTGACCAATGTGATCACTTGGGGAGATCAATATCATGTGTAGGTCTTGGATATATAAGTATATTGTACAGATAGAATATAAATTCTATGTTTAGATCACAATGGAGCTATTGAGTTTATAGGGAAGAGTACATAATTACAAAATATTCAGTTACTTGATTTTGGACTGACTACACAAATATAAATGAATCTAATTTAGTTCAAACATACATAGTTTCTATATTAGAAGATTCTAACACTCCTCAAGGTAAAGCATATAGGTCATATGCATTAAACTTGTTGACCTCTATAGTTAATTCAAGGACCCCTTAGTGACATAGTGAATATATTTGCTAATTGATCATGAAAATTGACAAAACTAGGATATTTCTCCTGAACATGACTTTTTCTCTGACAAAGTGGTAATCAAATTGTTATTATGTATAGGTGACATTTGTGTAACCTCCTCAAAGTGTAGTTCCCTAAAGCAATTGTTTAAGCCATATAAGCTCTTGACTGGCCATAGCCATAGCTCAATATTCTACCTTTGCATTGGATTTGGCTACAATATTTTGCTTCTTGCTTTTCCGTTAGACAAAGTTATCTCCGACAAATATACAAAACCCAAAAGTGAGTTTCTATCATTAGGAGAGTCTGTTCAATTTACATTATCTCTGTTTTTGAACATGACTGTTCTTGAATTTGAGCACATTATCTCTGTTTTAATTCTCTGTTAATGTTTTTGGATAACATGTGTAAAACAAATTAGATGTGATATTAGTCTTACTTGGAAAGATTTGGATTAAATATGCATTTAAACAAGCTATTTAGAAGATGGAGAAAATCATCTAGAATTTGGTTCATGTACAGGTTCGACGGTTACCAGTTGGAGATGGGATTTGGATAGCACACCATAAAACCCTTGACAGTGAATATGTGTTGGATTTTATTGTTGAGAGGAAGAAAATTGATGATCTACGCAGTTCAATCCGGGATAACCGCTACAAGGATCAAAAGTTAAGACTTCAGGTATTTATTCCTTATTTTTTCTTTTTTTGAAAATTTAAGATTGTATGAACTTATGATGGCAAGCATATCACTGGTCAAGAATGTGGCACATTATTGCTGTGAAGAAATTACATATTTTTTATCTATGCTAATGCTGCTTTGTTATTCCTAGTTTATTCAGCTACATAATTTAAAATCATGCCATACTGACATAGTCTTCTCATCCCCCATTTCTCATTCCAATTGCTCATATTTAGAGGTGTGGGTTGAAGAAGCTGATATATCTTGTGGAAGGTGACCCAAATTCTTCTGAAGCTGCTGAAAGCATAAAAACTGCGTAAGTAATTTTTTTTATTAACTTCATTCTACTGTTAATTATTGAGGGGGGAAGTTGAAGAAACCAAATTCAGGCTGATGTGCAACGTTTTACTATCACTGTTGACTGTTATGACATCATAACAAAAGCTATGGTTTGGTTTTGTGATAATTTTTTTTTGTAATTTATTAGTAAAAACAGAAAGTGGAAACAAAAAATATTTTATTCAAACCCAACACTCTACAGTTCTGCTACCTCTGGTTTGAATGGGGTTCATTGAATGGAACTTTGTTGCTTTCTATCTTTAATAATCACACTGGTGATTTCTCTGATCTGATTCCTTGACTGTAAATTAGCTATTTCTTAGTAGTTATTATCATTGATAATTGAAAGTATCATTTCTGACTTTTTTTTTATTGGTGCGTGTGAGTGAGCAACCATCTGTTGCTGAAATTTTAATTTCTTTGTTTATTTGGTGATGTGGTGGAAAGAGTTCTTATGTTTTGTTGTGGTGGTGCCATTTTTTCATGAGGTTTATGTAGCATCGTGATGGGTATGGGTTGCTAGATTACGCTCGAGTAAAGCTTACTCAGATTGTTTGCCTGTTTAAAAGCTCAAGACATTCACAATTTCTGTTCACATCAAAATTAGCCCCTTTCAGACTTTTTAATCATACCTTGTACAGTTGTTTTACAACAGAGATTCTGGAGGGATTTGATGTACAGAGAACAAGTGGCTTAGGTGATACTCTAAAGAAGTATGGTTATCTTACCCAAGCAATTTCTCAATATTACAAGTCAGAAATTTTTGAAGACAATATTAAATCCTCTGGGACATGTCCTCCTTTTGATGAATTTATTAAAAGGTGTCAAGACATTGAGAAAACAACTGTTAGTGATGTATTTGCCATCCAGCTTATGCAGGTACTAACAAATTAAAAATTTAATTTTGAACTATTTTTCTATTGATTGTGTTGTTTGTCTGAGTAAACTGAATCCATTGACCTCGATTACCTTTTTAATTTGCAAGTAAGAGCACATCGACACCACCTTCAGGTGTAATTTTTGCTTTCAAATGTTATTTACTAGCAATTTTCAGAACTCACAGCACAGCTTAAATTGCGTTTTTATTTTTGGATCATTACTCATTAGTACTTGGTGAATTTGTATTCCTCTTTTGCTGCATCCTCAAATTTACTTTGATGGTGGTGTATGAAATATGATCAAGATCTGGCTGGATGACACGGTTGTTTTTAGTCTTGTGCAATTTCATTGAGCACCATGTTTGTTCTTGAGCCTTTGTGTTGTGTAATAAACTTAAATTACTTGGAAAATTGAATTTGTATCTCTAATACCCATGTTTTGCATCCTACAAATTACTATTTTCTTTAATTTAAACGTTCTGCCATATTTGCAAATGCAGGTCCCACAGGTTACAGAGGAGGTTGCCATGGCTGTGTTGGATCTGTTCCCCACACTTTTCTCTCTTGCCCGTGCTTACTCACTACTCGTGAGTCTTCATTTCTTTCTCCCTTGTAGAATATCAATTATTCAGGAATGATAAATGGATTCAGTCTGAACTAGAACCACTCTTGCACTTGTAATGTTACCCATTCTAATTGTTTGATTTGATTAGGAAGGTGATGCTGGTGCCCAGGAGGAGATGCTTCGAAGACGGAGTAACAATATGATCAATGCAGTTGCCAGTAGGAACGTTTTTCAGTTCGTTTGGGGCAGCTGACATGCATTGTATTCTCCCTTAGAGTTGGATCTTGGATGTCAATCCATTGTACTCTTTGTTGAATAACATGTTTGTAAAATTATTGGCACTATAACACAGGTTTAGTTTGCCAGCAATTTGTATAATTTGTATAGAAAATACACCCTTATGTGTATTGCATCTATGATTTTTAGTAAGTTCAATGCCATTCTAATGATCTGCACACTCACAACTCATGATGTTTATGTTTTATGCTACGTAATCAAACTATCATAAACAAATCTTCACGTTGAAGAAACACTATTTTTCACCTATTAATGACTCATAATGATAAGGTTGTTAGACATCTGAACTAGCTCAAATTATTAATAATTGAAGTTAGTTTATGATACTAACCATTTTGTTTTAGAACACACTAGAAATTTTTTTAAAAATTGAGAAGAAATGTTTCTTTAATAAAGTTTTATTAGAATATTCTTGGAATATTTTGAAAATATACTATTGACATAATCTAGAAAAAACCTTTTAAAGAAAAACTCTAATTCCAACATATTTTAAAACAATTAAAAAAAAAAGGAATTTTCTTAAAACAAATTCTTATCTCATTCTCAGGCTTCTTAAGTTTTAATTTTGTTATTCATTGTTGGAAAGGCTCTTTCTGCCTCTTTCCTTTTTTTTTTTTTTTTTTTTTTTTTTTTTTTTATCTCCTTGCTTGTACTTTATTCATATTGTCATCAATTGTGAATTGCGAAACACTATGATTATAAGAAGTGAATTGCTCTCATCCATTATAGGCCGTTTCTCCCAAACAATTTTTATTTTGTTTCTCAGTTCATCTCATATTTTTCTTCTTGCAGCCCAAATTCCGCATTTCAAATTTATATGTAAAATAAAATTCTATGTAAAATAAGGAATTATCTGTTTTTTCTTTTCATATATCATGTTATTATTAATTATTATTTTGAAATTAGATGCTGCATAAGTTTATATTTAATTATCATAATAATGTTCTTAAATTTCACACCCAGCTAAAAATTTTCTTTACTGCTAAACGTTAATATAGCCTAATGAATCATGAGTGGTGAAAACATATACTTCTTAGCATTGTCTCTTCTATTTTACTTTTTCTCCTCTAAATTGCACTTTTTAGTTTTCTTTATTTTTTTCATAATTTTGATTTCCCTTTTTTTTTTCTCCCAAGTTTAGGCTTCATATTTTACAAAACTCACAACTTCATCCCATATTCAATTTTAGATACATTTTATTTTGATTGGACGAAACTTTAGACCCAATATATTTATTTAAGGTATCATAAGAAATAATTTAATTTTGAAAGATAAAACTAAAAATATAAAAAAATGTGAATTAAAAGTAAAAAAAAAACAAGTATTTAAAATTTGGAAATTATAAATCATAAAATATAGAAAAATTAAAATCACAGCTCAGAAATTAAAAGACCAAAATTATAGATTATCCTATGTTATTTCTAGTTAAGACCATGGAATGTATAATTTGGTTCTAATAAATATTTCTTCCAGAAGCAGACAATCTTTTATAGCATTTGTGCATCGCTATTGGACAATTAATTTATACCAGTTGGACCACATTCTTACTTTGATGTTCTGTTTTTATCTTAATTCTGCTTTTATCTGTTTTGTCAATTAAAAACCCTAATAATAAACAATTCAGGAATCCATTTATATTACAAATGTTAAGAATATATCTTCATTTTAATCTCCTCTCTTTCACATACTCACTCTTGATGAAACAATGAATCATCAAAGAAACTGGAAATGAGGTGAAAAACCTAATAAATACATGAACATGACTCACAAAGTTGATGACTTGATAACATTTGACTCAAACAAAATATATTAGATCATAAATCCAACTTACATTTTTTATAAAACAAAATACACCAAACAATAAACAACGCTACTGAAAGAAAATTATAACACATTTTCCTCTCAATCTCAGGTATTGATTGGCTTGTTTGTTCTCTCCTTTGTCCAAGGAGAAGTCACCAAGTGCAGTGTCTGGCTTTCAACATGAATCCAATTTTATTTTGGAGAATCTTCCTAAGATTTTCCTTGCTATCCTCATCATCTTCCACTATGGAACAAGCATGGCCTGTTTGGACATGCTTGTATTTGGCAATGATACCCGATTTGGCCAGCACTAAAATCTTGTACTCTTCAAAGAGACAAATCAGGGTAGAAAGGACCCAGCAATTCAGAAATTGCATATTCCTTGCTGTACCTGAAGGATGACAAATTGGAGGTGACATTATCAACCCCTTTTCTTGTCCATTCTTGATTCTCGAGAAACTCTTCAAGACAAGACCTTTAATTTGACCACTTATAAGATCCCATATCACAAGCACTGTAGAGCTTTGCAACTAGCCGTGGAGCATTTTTGAACTTTTGGTTTAGTTGCTCTTAAGAGGCCTTTCTGGCCTCACTGAAAACACTAACTGTTTTTAATTTGAAGTTGGTGGTGTGATTTATTAGTTGTCCAAGTTTCACCTTATGGACTCAGGTAATGATTTTTTGTTTGTTTGGTTTCACGACAGAAGGGGTAGAAAAAAAATAGAAAGAAAGTTTAAACTGTTAATTGCTTTCACATGGTTTTCTGAAGGATTTGATAGTTCAATAGTTGTCAAAAGTTTTAGCCTTTCAGAAGTAATGGAAAGAAAACCTGAGTTATAAGAAGTGTAAAACTGAAGGCACCAAAAGAACTGAAATTCTGAACGAATCTAAAATCGACAAGTAACCAGAATGTGGACTTAGGTGTATGATAAGTTGATCAAATACTCAATATGAGTTATCTCGGCATTATTACTGTTTACTTTTCCATCTGAAAATATACTTTTCTCTTCAACTAACTTCTCTTTTACACAGTCTGAGTTTGATGAAAGAGCAGAAATAATTACCCAATGAAGTTGATGACCGGTTTATTGTAAGAATTTTGCCTGTTCGTTTGCACTTTTTCGAATGAACTGTTTTATTTATTTAAAAAAAAAAATGCAACACCACCACCACCATCACCTTATTCTACTAGATGATATCAGCTACTTGGATCACATGTTTCCCTTCAACTTGGTTAAAAACCGATGCTTTTTGAAAAACAAGAAAGAAATATTAGAGAGTTGTTTCCTAGAATCATTATTTACCTAGAGTCATTGTCTAATTGCAAATTGTATCTGGACACTGATGCTTGTTTCTAACATTTACATGCTGAGTGGAATGAACATCTTTATATTCTTTTTTCACCCCTATGGAGTCTTACTTATGCTAACCAGCTATTATGGATTGATTAGGTTCACCACACCAGTGGCTGAGGGAGCTGAGATGGGACTCCCAGGGATTAAATCCAATAAGCCTTCTTATTGACTGTGCCAAATGTGTTGCATCTGGAAGCATCAAGAATGCAGATATTGGCCTTGAGTACATATCTCAGATTTCATCTCCTGATGGTAATGCAGTGCAAAGGATGGTGACTTATTTCAGTGAAGCACTTGGATACAGAATAGTAAAACATTTGCCAGGTGTATATAAATCTATCAGTCCCTCAAAAACATCACTATCTTCAGAAGATATCCTTGTTCAGAAATACTTCTATGAATTGTGTCCCTTTTTGAAGTTCTCATACCTGATCACAAACCAAGCCATTGTAGAGGCCATGGAATGCGAAAAGGTGGTTCATATTATTGATCTCAATTGCTGTGAGCCAGCTCAGTGGATAGAACTTCTACTTACTTTTAAAAACCGTCGGGGAGGTCCACCCCATCTGAAAATTACAGGGATTCATGAAAAGAAAGAAGTTCTAGACCAAATGAACTTTCATTTGACATCTGAAGCTGGGAATTTGGATTTTCCTTTACAGTTCTATCCAGTTGTTAGCAAACTGGAAGATGTTGATTTTGAGAAGTTGCCTGTGAAGACAGGAGATGCTATTGCAATAACTTCTGTTCTTCAGCTGCATTCGCTTCTTGCCACTGATGATGACATGGCTGGAAGAATCTCCCCAGCCGCGGCAGTATCTATGAATCTTCAGAGAGCAGTGCATATGGGCCAAAGGACTTTTGCAGAGTGGCTTGAGAGAGATATGATCAATGCATATATCTTGAGTCCTGATTCTGCATTGTCACCTCTTTCCTTAGGTGCCTCACCTAAGATGGGGATTTTTCTCAGCGCTTTGCGAAAGCTCCAACCAAAACTGGTAGTAATCACTGAACAGGAATCAAATCTGAACGGATCCAATTTGATGGAGAGAGTTGATAAAGCGTTGTACTTTTACAGTGCGTTGTTTGACTGCTTGGACTCTACTGTTATGAGAACATCAGTTGAGAGGCAAAAACTTGAGAGCATGCTTCTTGGAGAGCAGATAAAGAATATCATTGCTTGTGAAGGAGTTGATAGAAAGGAAAGACATGAGAAACTCGAAAAATGGATTCGAAGGTTTGAAATGGCTGGTTTTGTAAAGGTTCCTTTGAGCTACAATGGGAGGATAGAAGCAATGAATCTGTTGCAGAGATATAGTAGTAAATACAAATTTCGAGAAGAGAATGATTGTTTGCTTGTTTGCTGGAGTGATAGACCATTGTTTTCTGTATCAGCTTGGAGTTTTAGGAGATGAATGGTCATATATATGCTGGATATGAAAGACCCCTTGCATGGCCTTGGATTTCAAGAGGTTTAAGATGGAGTAATCAACAAGACAAGAAGGTGGATGGGTTATTATTTTCATCTTTCTTTCTTTTCTAGGTTTTAATTGTTTCTATGTATAGAGGGTTTTACGTTGTTGTTCTCTAGAGCTGCTGGGTGATTTGAATTTGTCAAACAACAAGTCCATCTTGTATTCTTGTTCATGTTAATATCAAATTCATTTCAGTAAAATATTTCACTTTTGACTCTCACCTGGGCTAAGTATGCAAACAAAATTTGTATACATCACCGCACTTGCTTTGTGTTTCTTTCAGTAATATTAGCACATGAAAATAACATTAGCTAAAACTCATTTCTATTTATTTACAACAGCTGAAGGTGTTTGGCGTTGTGTCATGAAACATTGAATACAGGTAGAAAGTTTGGTAAAAGGAACTCTAATATGGTCATCGTCTATTGTAGTCAGCACATGTTGAGGAGGGTATTGAGGAGAATCTCGTATCACTTGCTTCAATTCTAAAAATGCAGTTTATATATCTGTTGGGCTATTTAACTTATTATCAATTGATATTAGGTTCAAATTCGACACTATATGATCTCGTTAAAATTCAGTTTAGCCATCATGTAAATGAATCAGATAATATATTTTGGTAGATGAAAAGTATGTCTTCCCAATCTCACCACTAGCACCCATGGTTTGACAAAACATGTTATCTATCAGCATCTCATGACAGCTAAATGTTTCAAAAATGTCAATACAATGCAATGGACCGATATTGTAGTTATTATCTACAACCTCACTTTTTGTTTCCATTCCTTGTTTTGAGCTTACTTGGCTCCTAGATTTAACCAATTCACATAACCATTATTTCTTGTGAAATACTCATCTTGTTCTGCATTGCTTTTAAAAGGACTCTTGCTTTTATGTGGTTGCATTGCATATATCTAAGTAGATTTCCATGCCCAAATAGAATAGTCACAAAATATTAACCCTTGCTTTCTCCTTCAGTATATAGCATTGTTTAGACCTATAGTAGATGACTTTAATTTTAGATAAGAAGGTTGTGTTGTGTGTGTCAAAGCACAAGACAACTTTGTTTGAATGTCGCTCCCTTGTGGTATATTTACGAAACCTATGTTTATCCCAAAGATAAAACTTATACTAATGACATATGGCGCTAGAACATCTTTACATCTCTCAGGAGTTGTCTCATTCTTGCTCCATAAACTAGGGACTAATAATGATACCACATTTGTTTCCTTCTTTGCAAACAACTTTCTTGTACTAATAATCTATGTTTGTGGTTTTCTTAGTAGTTATTGTCTCATTCTCTGCTCCATAAACTACGGAGTAATAAGGACAACATATTTGTCTCCTTTGCAAACAAACTTTCTTCTGACAATCTCCTTCATCTGTGAATAGATAACCTTTTAGATGAAGCCAAACAATAATAGTTAACGTGGAAACATCCACTTTCACACACACCAAGACTTCTAAGATGCAATGAACCGTTTACTCATTGTTGGATTGTAGTTGAATTGGAATTTCTTACCCGATTAGGCCAGCAAAATTCTTATCTTACTGGGTGAAGCAACCAATTATGGGCAAATCAATGGTGACAAGATCAACTTCTTTTATTGTTCCTAAGTTGATGCAGCTGTCGTTCATGACAAGAGTTTTAACTTCTACTGGTTTACTTAGCCCATGAAAGTCAAGATCACATTCCCAATGAAGCTTTACTTGCACTTAGGGACTTTGCATTCTCAAGGAAATGTTCATCTGCGTTCTTCAATAGGTTTGGCAATGTAAAATTGCCCGGTGTACATGGTCTTTTAGGTGCCCAAGGACCAACTTATGGACACAGGTAATAATACTCTCTCTAGAGACTAGAACATTTGTCTGAAAGAAATCAAGAAAAAAAGAATATATTTTATCAAAGAATGGAAGAAAGTATATGAATCTGCACCTCTCTATACCCAAATGTCACGATTTCCTTTCAAATCACATGATGAATCTCTCTCAAACTCACTTCCCATTTATAGGCAATATGTCTTAGTCCTTTAGGTTATCTCAACACAACTAAATTCCTTCTTCACTGAGACATCTAACATATACCTTTGTGCCTTTATTACTATGTCATTACATAAATAGTGTGTAATCCCCCATGTAACTTTGTTTTTCTACGAATTCACAATATTTTACATGTTAATAATGTGTTAATCTACGAAAAGTGCTTAGAAAAATTTGTCCTTTTGCCCTGTATCTTGTTCTTGTCACCAACTCCTTATAAAAGATTAAGTTATCCCTAAAGCTTAAGCTCTAAGTTCATGTCAAGGACGAATTACCTCAAAGCTTAAGCTTGTGAATCAACAAATTTATATACTTGTTGTCATGAGCAGAGTCTATTGGGAGATAATTGATTGAAAATGATGAGTGATTGATACAATTTATTATCTCTCATGCAGCATTACTTCTGCATGAATTAATGTTGACTCGTTATACTTATGATGAGTTTGCAGCACTCTTAATGTATTTATAGTGCTCTTTACCAGTTTCCTGATAAAGCTATCTCTTATATATTAGATTCACCATACCCGTGGCTCAAAGATATGAATGGGGAGGATAGGGGTAAATACCTAGCCCGTATTCTTAACGCCTGTGCCAAGTTTATTGAATCAGGAAGCATCATGAATGCAGATACTGGACTGGACTATATTGCTCACATTGCCTCCCCTTATGGTGATGCAATGCAAAGGGTAGCCACCTATATTAGTAAGGGTCTAGTTTTCCAAGTTCTAAAAATTTTCCAGGGAGTACCTAGGGCTGTCAATTTGTCAAAAACAATGTCAACCTCAGAAGAACAACTGGTTAAGAAGACATTCTATGACCTGTATCCATTTTTAAAGACTGCATATGCAATCACGAGTAATGCCATTGCTGAAGCTATAGAAGGAGAAGAAGTAGTCCACGTCATTGATCTCGGTGCATCTGATGCTTCTCAGTGGATTTGTCTTATGCAGAGATTAAAACAAAGCCAAAAGAAGCTCCCATTTCTGAAAATCACAGGCATAAATGAGAAAAAGAAAATTTTAGAGGAAGTGGAGACTCACTTAAGAGTAGAAGCTAAAAGTTTGAATTTCAATCTCCAATTCAATGCTATTGTAAGCACTTTGGAGAATCTTGACCTAGAAGAATTGCCTGTGAAGAAAGGAGAGCCTCTTGCAATCAGCTCAGTGCTTCAGCTGCACACTCTTCTGGCCACTGATGATGCAATGGTTTGCATCAGGAGCTCGCAGGCAGAACCAGTGCATCAGAGGACATTTGCTGAGATGCTTGGGAAACAAAATACCAACCCCAGTTCTGAACCATCATTTTTACAACTTCCTCTATGCGCTACTTCAACCAAGATGATGCATTTTCTAAAAGGCCTGTGGAAACTCCAACCCAGAGTGATGGTGGTTACTGAACAAGAATCTAATTTCAATGGTTCTTTGACAGAAAGGGTTGACAAGGCATTGGACTTCTACGTTGCATTGTTCAACTGCTTGGAATCAACTGTTTCAACAACAGCACTGGTAGAGAGAATCATCATGGAGAGGACTCTACTAGGGGAAGAAATAAAGAACATAGTTGCATGTGAAGGAGTAGACAGAAAGGAGAGGCATGAGAAACTTGAGACTTGGATCCCAAGGCTAGAAATGGCCGGGTTTAGTAAGGGACATATTAGCCACCATGGAATGATGCAAGCAACAACACAGTTGCATGGTTATGGAGATGGATACAGGCTTTGTAAGGAAAATAATTGTTTGTTTGTATGCTGGAAGGATAAGCCACTCTTTTCTGTATCAGCCTGGACTACTTAGAAGATGAAGAACATGGTTATGTAGTGGGAGAGTGTATTGCTATCGCATGCACATTTGATAAGCATAAACTACAGTGTGTGAATGTTCAAGTCAAAACTCATTTTATTTTGTTTGTGGTTTATATATTGAAAATGAAAAGTAAAATTGACTTTTTGCTAGGATTTTTTGAAAAGGGTACCATGTTTTTTCTTTTAATTTCTCTCCAAGTGATTAGTCCTACAGAAAAATCAGTATACCCTTTTGTTGTAGGACAATTTTCTTCTGTTGTTCACTTGTGATTCAAAATTAGCACAGCAACAAGCTTCTTTTACAATTAGATGCCCATTTTAGTTAATAGATTTTTATAATTACTTTGTACGGAAGAATATTTTGTTGGTATTTTCTATTACTTATATATATTATTTATATTTTCGATACTAATAAATAATATAATAATACTTTACTTAAAATTAATTAATCATTTCATCATGTTAATTTTTTAAAATTTAGTAATTAAATATTAAAATTAACTCTTTAATAAAAATCAAAACATTTGTTCATTCGTAAGCTCGTATATTTAATATTAAATTAATAATATATTAATTAAGATAGATATTTTCTTATTGTTTAAATAAGATAAAGTAGTAATATGTTACTCTAAGAATTACTAAAAAAATTCTTTTATTTTTTCCAACATTAAATTAATTCTAGAATACGCTATTACTGTCAAATTCTAATTAATTAATCTGTCATGATTATTTTTCTTAATCTCTTTCTCGATAATTAAGATTTTAATTTTATTTTATAATACTAAATTCATTATTTAGATTTGGTAAATCCTTCTGAAATATTCATTAAGTTTTCATTCACTTGAATGTGAATGTTAACATGATGCATTAAGTGATCATGTTAACTTGAACTGAGAATGCATATATTCAAATTGAAACTACACTAAACAGCATCAAATTTTCAAATCTAAAACATGGATCAGATCCAAAACTCATAAAAGTGAATCCAGAAAGTGACACTTTATCCATGGCGCACAGTGATGTTGTACTCCACCACAAAATGCTGGGGGGTAGAAATATCATCAACACTGTTGGCTATGGCATAGCCGGTGGCGAACCTGAACACGCCAGTGCCTCCGACGATCGGCATCTCTCTGTTCTGCTCCGCGATAGGGTTCCTGCCCAGCATGCTCAACGTGCTTCCGGCGAACTCCCCTTCGCTGAAAGCAAAATTAATGAGCATGAACATTCCCAGGTCATTCAAAGAGGCCAGTCCGAAGAGCCCCTGGGCCCTCCCAACGCCCTTCGAGCTCAGCTCCGGGCCTTCCGTCATCGGATCATCCATCACAAACGTTGTCCCGAACCCGTTCGGCACGTTCTTTGGGGTGTCCACGATTTGCACAATTGAGGGGTCATTGGCGCTTCGAAGGTCGTGGTAGAAGAAGTGGAGGTGGGTCTCTTTCTGCGACGAGATGTGAGTTTCTGAGGGGAGTTTGATGTGGGATTGGTGAGAGAACGATGCGTGAAGAGAAGTTGGGAAGGTGGAGAAGAGAGTGAGAGAGAACAGGAACAAGAATGTACCAGGAACAGCCATGGTTGGATTCCAACAATGTTTGACATTGGTTTTGTTTGCACAGAACCTTGATTTATAAGAAAGTGAGTATTTTAATATTTTATTTATTTTTTATTCTGCTCGTTCTATGCGAGGGAACAGATTTATTTTAAACTATTAGTTAAATTATAGAGGTTTATAAAATATATAAAAATCTTCTTTAAAATATTATTTATTCTTAACCTTTATAGATTATTCAAACTAAAAGATCAATATTAAATTGATATTCTTTTATTCTGTTTAAATTAAAAAAAAATGTGAAGCAAGCATGCAGCACAAGGCAAATTTATTAAATTTGTCACAAATATCAAATATCATCTAAAAAATTATAAAATTATTAGGAAATATTATTTCATTGGTTCATCTTAAATTAAGTTTATTTTTTCAAATATTTTTCACAAATATAAATCAACTTATATTTAAATATATTAATAATATTAACTTTTACAAATTAATTATAAAATTATTTTTAAATTTTATTGATTAAATAAAAAAATATACATTCAAATTAATATATATATATATATATATTATTGAGGAATTTATTTTAAAATTATTTTTTATCATAAATAACTAAAATTTATTAAATGATTATAATTTATTTTTAAAAATTATTAAATATTGAATATTTTGTTCATAATATATGAAAAATTAAAAAATTAATTATTTTGATTATAAAATATTAAATCTATTGTTTAATTAAATTATACACTTAAAAATAATTTATTTTTTAATTAATATTTTAAATTTTTATCCTAAATAAGTTATAATTATTTTATATTAATTTTAAATTTTATAAAAAAATAATAATTATTTTTATATTATATATAGTTTTAATAATATATATAAGTGACCCCATTTTTTTTGTTTTTTTATCCTCTTCATCAATTAACTTTTCCTCTGAAACTTCTTGAAACAACTATAATATGTCATTTCTCTCTCCATCATTTTTTTCTTTGTTTTGATGGTCTTTCTAGTTCTTCGTAATCTCATGCTTTCTCGATAACTCGATATATTTCTATCAGACATATCAAGTTAATAAAATAATATTCAAAATAATGATTAATTATTAGTTTATTAATATTTTTTTACTGCAATTTTTTTACATAATATCAAGAAGAACCAAGTTTAGTTAAGGTTAGATAGAATCTAGTTTTTTATTTTTTTGTAAATGTAATTTACCTTAAAAACAAATTGTATAATGGTGAAGTATCATATTGATGGAATTAGAGCAACTAGTTTATTTAAGAAGCTGATTATGAGTGTGGAGAAGTTATTAGATCCTTTAGGTAGTTTTTTTTTTTTTTTCATAAATAACTTTCAACTGAAGATTCTTACCATAAAATTGTTATCATATATGTGCATAGTAACCCATCAGTAAAATTAAATATAATTATTAATTATTTAATTTTATATTATTAAATAATAATTTATAAATAAATATTTAAAATTATAAGAGAAAGTTTGTTTCTTACTCAATAATTTGAAATATTATATACTGTGTTACTCGTGAAAATCTCTTGAAAAAATTATTCTACTGATATCAAAGAAATTATTCAATAATTTTGTTATTAATAATTATTGTATTAATGTAATAAAATATTTTTGCATCAATTTTTATATTAATTAATTTATTTATTTATTTATATATATGACTGTGGAATAAGTACTGTTTTGTATTATGACTTTTCCTTTTAATACTCTAACAACATTTAAGATAAAATATTTAATGTCCTCTTACATTGCACTATACATTAAAAATGTTTGGAATATTTCTCCAAAAAATTCTTAAGAGAAATAATAAAAACAATATTAACTTTATGAATTATAATTATTTTATGTACAAATAAAAATTAATTTATTTATGAACCTCGTATGAACAACTACTCTCATCCGTTGGTATTAATTAATTTGGCAGCCGAATGCATGATTGAAATCAATTATAGATTAAATAAGTTCATTATTGATATGAATTAAGTTAATTAAATAAGTTTAAAGTAAACATAGTTTAAGAAAAGATTAGCCACACCTATGACGTGCGACATTAAGTAATCTTAAAATTCGTATTGGTCCTATATAAATGACTAGTTATAATAAAGGTTGAAACAACAACTTCATCTAAAATTTTGATGAGTTAACCTAAAATGAGTGCTCTATTTGGATTAATATTGTTGGTGGTGTGTAGTGACATGAACACAATCGAAGGGGAGTTCATAGAAGAATCCCACATAGTCTTACCCACAGATAGAGTGGAGAGATTCACCCATCTTCACTTCTACTTCCATGATATATTGGATGGTGAACATCCCACAGCTGTGAGAATTATTGATCCGCCAAGGCATTCTCCAGGTGGATTTGGAGTGACTTTCATGGTGGATAACCCTTTGACAGAAGGGCCAGAGCTGAGTTCAAAGGAGGTTGGAAGGGCTCAAGGAAGCTATGCTTTGGCTTCTCAACATGATCTTGGATTTAAGATGGTGATGAATTTGTTCATGACAGAGGGTATTTATGCAGGAAGTAGTCTCAGCATATGCTTGGGAGGAACGCTGTTCTGGATGAGATCAGAGAAATGCCAATTGTTGGAGGCAGTGGTGCCTTCAGATTTGCTCGGGGCTATGCATTGGCAAAGACTGTGTGGTCTAATTCTACTTCTGGAAGTGCCATTGTTGAGTACAACGTGTTTCTCTATCATTTCTGAGAGTATGTGTTACTACTATTCAGGAATTATAAGAGAGTATATGTGTTACTGTTCAGGAATTATAAGAAAGATGTTTGGATGATTAGTATTGAGATTTCTATTGAAAATAGTTTTTAGAAAGAATTGGATAAAGAAGAAAAAGTTTACATGAAAAAAATAATAATTGATCTTAAAAATGTTATAAAATATTTAAAAATTTGTATTATTTTTTTTATATTGACATTATTTATTTATAGACTTAATTTATTATTTTCTAAATATTTTAGATAATTTTAAATTTTTTTAATTTTATAATTATCTATTTTGTATTTTTAAATATTTTTATAATGTTTTAAAGATTTTAAATATTATTCATATGAAATTTTTAATTCTACTAATATTTAATATTTTATTTCTAGATCTTTCTAAAATTTATATTATCTTTTAATATATATATATATATATATATATATATATATATGTATATATGATATTTAGAGTATAAAGCTCTTCTCTTTTGATGATTTTTAGGTTGAATTTTTTTTTAATTTAAATAATTTTAAGACTATTTTTTAGGTTTTTACGATCTTTAATTCCAATTTTTTTTTTTGGAAAAATCCTAAAATTTTTCAAATTGAGGACGAAATTTCATCTACTCACATTGAAGAGAGGTTGAGACAGATTAAATCTAAAAAATTTCAGCTAATTTTTAGTAAAAAAAAAGTTATTTTGTAAAATAAATTGTGTTTAGAATAATAACTTAAACTTAAAAAAGTTTTTTCTTAAAAAAAAAAGTTGTTTTCTCGAATTAAAAATGTGTAACTTGTGATTAATTTTCCCAATATAATTTTTTTATTCTTTCATCTTCCATACATTTTCTCATATAAAAGCTGTTATTTTTCGTAAAAAAAAATAATTATCTTAAATTTATTTTTCAACAAATTTATTCGATGAAAAATTGGTTTATTATAATTAATTATAAATATAATTAATTATTGATTAATTAATTATTGAAAATTTTACATTTCACCATTGTCCTAAACATAATAATTTTACTATAAACTGATTATAAAATGACTTTTAATATATTTGAACAAGTTTTTTTTATAAGGAGTGTAAAAGAGAAAAATATAATTGTTTTTTTATAAATTAAAATTAATTTATGAAATGTTTAATAGTATAAGTTTTTTTTCAATTTTTTTAATTTTTAGATAAATTAATTTTATTTTACACCCTCAAATTCATTTTACATCTAGCTAGTTCTAATTGCGAAGAGGTAAATGATAGATGAGTTTCCACAGTTCATCAATAAAAATTGCATATATATTAAAACATTTGTGTCGGTTTTGTCATTTATTAAGCATTTCAAAATTTATTTATTTCTTTGAACTTGACCAAATCAAATTACATTTCTTTAATTAGGTCAAATTAGAATTGAAAATCAAATTAAGCGAGTGAAAAAAATATATATCAAATCAAATAATGAATTTTTTTTAATAATTGACGTGTAACATGATATATTATGTCATTTTTTTAATAAAATAAAAGTAATGTATAACCACAATAATTATAGACTTTTTATTTATTTAAAATATTCATAATTAAAGATTTTAATGTAAATTATTAATTGATTAAGTACAACTATAACATTTAATCATTCAAAATAATAATATAATAATTATATATTATTATACAAAAATTATGGAGATTATATTAGAGTTTATATAATATTTTTGATATAATAATTGATTTTAACTATAATAATAATATTATTTTTTTAATGGAACACATTTAAAAATATTTAAATATTTTTAGAATTTAAATCGATTGTTTAAATTTTTTTATGTTCGAACTTACATGAATAAATAATAGGAAAAAAAATTAACTTAATTTTTATATTTTAAATATAAAATAAAATCCGATTTAATAATCCTAATTCAATCATAATTAGTGTAGTACATTAGAAAGCGTATACTTTTTTTATAAAACAAAAAATGAATAAATTTAATTATTATTTCTAAAATATTAAAATTAAGTATTTTGTTTTATATAATTTGTACAAAATAATAATTCAACATAAATTATGAAGAGGTTTTTGAGGGATAAATCAACAAAGAGGGAAAAAACAAAATTGTTGGAATCCCCAAACACCCGAAATTACCTCCCTCTGGCAAGAAGCAATTTCCAACTGAGCCAGGCAGCGAGGAAGGGATACAATCCACCGTCGCATACACGCCGTTTATGCCCCTCGGTTCGGTTCATTCCATCTGCAACTAAAACCCTAACTCGTGTTCAATTTTGTATGCCATTTTTACACCTTTCAAATGCATTTGGGCACCAATCTTGTTTGTTTTCATAGCACTGCTGAACTTGAAACCTTTTAGGTTTCGTGTTTCTCCTCTCTCTTAAATTCGTGTATTCGTAGCTTCGCACGTGCTCCATTCGAGATTTTCAATTTTTTTGCTGGTACTTGCTTTTGTTGAAACCGTTGTATGTTACTTTAGTGTTAAGTACTATTATGATTATTATTGTTGTGGGTTATGTGCTGTTTGCTTATTGTTGTGTGTGTGAGGTTTTATGTCTGTGAGTGTGAGCATATTCTTGTTTTGGCCATTGCTGAATGTCTGGGGCAACAGTGTTCTGTTCGATCTATTTTGGATACTATTATATGTTTTTTTTTTTCTTTTAATATAGGTTTAGGTTGAGTTTGAAAGAGCTTGTTTACAGCTTATTTCGACCTAAGTACTTGTGTAGGTGTTGAGAGAGTTTTATGAAAATAGCTTATGATGCATGCTTTGTTTTTGGCTTATATTCAATCAGCTTTACAAAATAAAATAGCTTACAAAAAATTATAACTTGTATGAAAATAGTTTTTATCTTAGGTTTTGTTTTTGGATTCACGAATGTTAGTTGTTAATATCTTACTTTTACGTTAGCTTACATATGAGTGCTTATTTCCTTAATTAAGCTATCTATCCAAACAGGCCCTACAACCAGGGTTTTATATAGAGCATGCTATAGTGTAACCGTAGTGCCCGTGGGAGATGATATGGAAGCTGTAGCAGACGGATAGTAGTGATATGTTTTGATTCCGAAAATTCCCCTGAATACTACTGTCAGGGCATGATTTCTGAATTTCAATTTCCTAAAATAATTTTTGCTAATAAAATCAATCAGAAAGCTGTCATTTCTCACTTGCTCTCTCAAGCCAACCTTAGTTTTATCTCTTGAGCCAGCATTATGGTGACTGGTTTCTATGCCTCTGGTCTCTGTTCTCTCCAGCAACTACATCTCTTAGAAATTCTTGCATTTCCCTATCTTAGGTGACCTCTGCATCTCTTGTATTGGTTTGACAATCTCTTCCTGACACCAAGATTTTTTATTTTTAATTATGAATATCATCATTTTTTTTAGGTAATTTTTTTGATCGTTTTTGAGAATTTATATGCATATAACATATGATATATAAATAATTTTCAGAGTAGCGATGGCTATCCCATAGGATTTTCGGGACTGGCCTCTATCCAGGATTTAAAACAGCCTAAAACTTTCATCAAGATCCTTTTACCTTTAGCATTAAGTTCACCAATCCAATTATGATGTATGGGAGAATTCATTTTGAACCAACTAATCCCTAGATACATTTATTCCATTTAGATATATTTTGAACATTTGGATTTATTCTAAATATTTAAATTACATATTTTGACCTACATTTTTGGTTTACAAAAAAAAAAAAAATTAACAAAATCCTATCTCAATAGATTTCAAATTTATGCAAAATGCTTTTCTAATGTTAAATTATGTCATTTTATTATGTGTTATTGAACTAATAAAAGAAAATCCGGGTGTTTATCATTTGACTAGAGAACATGATATGAGAAGGTTGATCTAGTTTTTTTCATTTCAAATATTATTTTTCTTTTAGGTAAACTTTTGAGTTTATGAGTTCCCTTGTGAGTTTGAATACATATTTGAGTTTGACAACCTTGGTTTTATTTTCCCGCCGTTCCCATGAGACTTCTAGTTTTGCTTCATGATTATGTTTGAAAAGTTCAGGTTGTCCATCAATACCACACTCTTCAGATGTTCATAGGTTTTGAAAGTTTGAGATTTGACTTGTTAAAGAGGATTTTGCGATATCTTGTGGATGGTTTACCTGATGACATTGGTGTTGCTCAGTAATGCCATAAACTTGGTTGGTATTGTCTCATTTTGGCTTCAATCAATGGGATTTGGGAAGCTGACATCCTGTGCCGAAATCATAGCTGTTTGTGTCTTTGGAAAGCTAGCGCATAGGTTTTTTCTTTAGGTGAAAAGTTTTCAGATTTGAATTGTTTCTTCTGATTTTTTCAATCTCTCTTGCAAAAAGGAGCCTGACTCTGCGTTTCATCACTAGTAGTAAGCAAGTGATGTTTAATCTATAGCACATGCTAGAAAATAGAGCATATGTAATAATGAGCTTCTTTATTGAACATTTAACCAGATTATAATATTGTATAAAAATTTTGCATCCTTACTCTCCCCCAAATTGCAATACAGATGTTGTTCAAATAAATGTCATTTGTATAAGTTTTGTATGATTAATTTAATTCTATTAGCTCATGGTTTTGAAGAAAATGATTTTTATCCGGTGCTTTTAATGTGCCAAAGTATATGATATTGTTTGACTTTTACATTTTAGAGAAATTTTTTTTTTTCTACGCTATCAAAATGGTCAATTAATTTATCTAATTATCTGTTGAAAAACTTTGAGCCCTACTGCTTTAGTAACTTGCTTGTTAATGGGATAAAAAAGAAACCATTCTCTTCATGTGTTCTCTATCGTACACCCATTTAGTTACCGTAAGTTTGAAATTTTGTGTTCCTAGGCTTTATTGACCTTGTTGCATGGAATCGTCAGCAGAAGAGTATTCTGCATTTGAACAGAAAGTTAGTAGGACAGTGTACTTTCACAACCTGTCGCCACAGGTCACTGAATCTGTGATAAGAACTGCTCTTGACCAGTTTGCATCAGTGAAAAATGTCAAGTTTATTCCTAACTATATTGGACCAAGCAATCTGCCTCAGTGTGCGTTAGTAGAATTAGACTCCGCCAAAAAGGTCAAGGAAATTGTCTCAATGGTAGGGCAGTATTCTTTTATGATGTCTGGGATGCCACGGCCAGTAAGGGCTCAGCCTGCTGTGATGGAAATGTTTGATGATCGGCCAATAAAGCCTAACAGAAAGATAAAGCTCCGGTGGTTGAACCCAGATGAACCTGATTTTGAGGTGGCAAAGCAATTAAAGAATCTTACACGCAAACATACTGCAGAAATAGAATTCATACGCAAAGTAAGTTCATTCCTGGTAATTTTGTTGTTGTTGCTCTTATCACTATTACTGTTCCAATTAATAAATTTGCTGAGTATGCCCCTAGGAGTTGAAGTTAGGAATATCTATTTTCAAATGATTTTTTTTATTTTCAATGTTCGTGCAAGTTTCTGCTCTCAATTTATAATAATTACTGATTTGAAACATTCATGTGCTCAAAATGTTTTTGTGGGAGTATCTTAAAGTAAAGTTAGTATCTTCGAAGTATGCTTGTATCTACTTTTGAATTTTGATGTTATTTATTTTTTTTGTTACATTGATAGAATTTGGGTTTGAACCAATGACCTCTTTCGAACTATCTAAACACACAACTATTCACTCCCTAGTGGCTTAGATGATTCTTTATTAGTACAGAAGGCCATCTTGCTAAATAAACTTCTACTCTCTCTTCTATCAAAGTAGTGCCTGAAACTATAGCCCGCTATTCATCATAAAAATATGTTTGATGATGTCTACTGTGAGCTAGTAGCATTATCTTATTCTGAAATGTGTTTTTGTTTGTTCAGCTGCAACTAGACGAAGAAGAGAAGCTTGCAAAGCAGCAGGAAGACACGCTTAAAGTGCATTACAAAAAGTTTAAGATGATAGATGGTATTATGGCCGATAAAACTGCCCATCGTTTGGCACGAAAGTATAATCTGCATGTTGCAGATGAATGAAGACCTCGTTTGGTCTACAATTTATGTAAATAGCTTTTACCTTTTTTCTGGTTAGGATCAAGGCTTGTTGCTCGTTGCTACTTCTGCTGAAGAAGCTCAGGTCTAAGATAATCTTTTGTTGCGTTTTCTTTCTTTCTGGGTTGATTTTGGTTAGTGTTACTATATTCTAGTTTTTTTTCCTTCTTTCTATGTTTTTAATCACGTGAAGAGCTCTAGATGGAGTGAATTCTTTTTGGTGAAAAAGAAGACCCAAGTTCCGTAAAGATTTTCGAGAAAAAAGTTTAGATAAGGAACCATGATAACTTGGTTTTAGTCGTGGTTAATTCTATTTACTATAATTATTTCTTCAAATTTGACACTATTACTTTGGTTTGGAAAAACTTGGTAGCTGGATCATTAGTTGGAAAGAACTGAAGTCGTGCTTTCGTTAATTTTATTTAGTTAATCTTTTTCCTATTTGAATTGACTTTCACTAATTATGGTATTAATGAATTGACTATCCCTATATTTTGTTAATTTTCTTCCTGTTTGGTTTCACAATTGACTGGGGAGAACGAAATAGGAAGTGAAAACTCGATTAATTATTGTTTTTATTATTTTTTAATCTTGTAATCCCTAATCTCCATTTCACGATTGAACGAAAAACATCAATCTTTCACGCGCAATCAGTATGAAAACCTAAACATTCATAATTGGTGTGAGTTTGAAATCCTTGACACAATCTAATTTTCATTCGACGACCGGTCAAACGGTTATCTAAAGAGATGGTTCATGTTCTTGTGTTCCTTTTCTTGCGTTGAGTGATTATTTGAGGTTCGTCGATTTTCTCTCATAATCTGTTACTGTACTGAATCCGTTTTATTTAAAATTAAAATTTTGAAGATTTTAATGTTATACGTTTTAATTTCTTTTTAGTAAAATATGTGTGCATCATTCGCTTTCACTTACATTTGTGGTAGTAATTTTTGAAAACTTGATCTGGTTCACTTTTGTTTGTTGTATCAATGTATTGATGCATTTAAGTTATCTGTAATTTTGTTTGGCCATTCTTAGTTATTTAAATAACTTGCAGATGGATACATTTAAGGATGAAGTAGTGGGTAATCTGGATGATGATTATGACTTTAGATTTAGTTACTCGGTAAGATAAGATTCTATTGACAGTGACAGTGAATTTGATAAAAATGATGTTGACGAAGAAGAGAATGAAAGTGGCCATAATGTCATACAAGAGTGTAATGAATTTTGGTAACGGTTCTGAGATGAGATGTTGAGATTCATTTATGATTTGATATCTTCTAACAAATAGTTTATGGATTAGGTAAAACTTTTCACCACAATAGATTTTAGAGGATGAAGTCATAAAAAACCACAAATAAACATGATTTACAATTTACTAATGTCTAGATTGGTGAAATTGAAATCTAAAAAATTATTCAATATTATTTATTGATAAAGAGTTTTACAATTTCTCCCAAAAATTCATGAGGCTACGCACCTAACTCAAACCATTATTTCTAACTTGAGATTTCTGCAGACAATAATAGATTCCATGTATCTGCCAAACCTGCTACACACCAATGAGTACAGTCCATGCCTTTGAAGAAATTGTAAGAACTAGGATGTGCATCTTTTCTCAACTGTGACAGAGTTGTAATGTTTAGCAGTTGAACAGGTTTGGTTATGTTCTTCAACACATCTTCCACTACATATGATGCTTGTGGCAATCCACCTGGGTAAGTTGATCCATTTATTGGCTTTGTCTCCTTTGAACAGTTTGTCATTTCTGGCTCATTCCACTCCTTGCCACTGATTTAAATACAAATTCAAATCATAAGAATATTCAAACTATTTTGAACACCAGGTCATTACAAGCTAATCACTACCTCCATTCTCATTTATAAACAACAAAAAGTGTTTCCTTAATCTACTTGAATTCAGTTTTTTGCTGTTTATAAATGAGAATAAATGTAGAATTTTGAAGCTTTGAATTTCTAATCAGAAAATGTTCCAAACTTACTCATAATGGGAGGGAGAAATTCCTTGGAAAAGAACTTTGGTCTTGTTTGTATCTACCTCTGCATCGACCCAATTAGCCCATGTTGTCAAACCAATTTTAAAAGCTTCCATGCGATCCATGTCTTTCATTATCTTGTCACCTATTTGAACATAATCCCATCTGCAGAACAAACAAAAGGGTAAAGTTACTTATTAGCTATTCTTAGAATCACAACTTATTCTAAAAAAGTTTAAAATTTTTGAAGAAATCATACGGTTGCTTAGGTCCTCTGCGGTACCACCAAAGCCAAGTGTTGAAAACCAAAATGTCCATGTCTTTCCATATGCTTCCACTCTTTAGGGAATCAAGCTTCAGGACTCGACCAATTTTTTCCACTTCAATGTCAACCAAATGTGTAGAATGAAAAACAATCACTGAAACATTATACTCCTGCAGCAGCATTGTAGTTGTGACAGCTTCAAACATTTGGCAAAAATAGGAAACAAATTTTCACAGTTTGAGGAGTGTTTTTCTGAGGAGATATGTAACTAACCGGGAATGTGTAGTAAGACCCATTCAAATAGCCCGGGTTTAATATTGGAGTTTCAGGCACAGAAGAATGAAGCAAACAAATAAGTGATTGGCATTGGTTGAGACTGACTGAATCTCCTACAAACATGATCTTCTTCCCCTTAAGTTTTGTCAAGAAATCTTTCCCATCAAATCTGCAAAATGGTATTTTGATCATATGATATCTTTGTTTTGTCTATTGACATGGTTTGATTTGAGGTTTAGAATCCCAAGTCCATATTTCTTATGGGTCTTTTAAGCGGATTTAATAATGAGAAACAATACCAATAAGATATGAGTCTAATCCAGATAAAATATTTACATTAACTTTAATCTAAATTAAATTTATGAATCTTTCTTTCTTATATATTACTCAATTATCTCATTCTTATTTAATATCTAACTTACACTCACATTTAAACTTCAAAACAATATGATACATGAAAAATGGAAGTTACTCAAAAAAATTTCTCCCAATTTGGTGGTAAAATAACTTCTTCCTTCTTCTAGTCCCTTCCATTAAGGTATTTGACAGGTTGTATAATTAGTAAATAAAGACAAAGAATTGTACTCATGCCTAATTTGAGTAAATACTGGTTTAAATTTGAAATCTGTGTGAAGGATCACACCTTCATACTGAAGATTGTGTGAACCAAAACCAAATACTTTAAGCTCACGGGTTAACATATGATACTGTAAAAAGCTCTCTATAGTCTCTTTTTCATTGACCAAGAATGTTGAAACTTTATCACATGTCATATTTACAAAACCCCTTATCCCAAAAAAACAAAACATGTTCTCTATCACAAGCAGTTTGTGCCACCTATGAATTCTGTACAATGAATGCAAGCAAAATAATTGTTCACACAATGTTTCAAGAAACACTTCATACTATTGATAAATGATATATTAATTTGATTTAAAATGTGTTGTTTGATATTTGTAGTTTTGATTATTTATCAACACTATAGTATACAAAATATGACAACTATTATATTTAAATAGAAGTATATCATATGCAAACAAATTAATGAGACTTGAGAATGGTAAAATATCAAAATTTGAAAACAAAATTAAGAGACTAAAATATGAAGAACTTTTTGCTGATTTGAATATGATAATATAAAATGATAAGATAATAACAGGAATAAATAAAAGGAAGATAACATTAATTTTATTTATAGTAAGATATGTTGTGACAATGAAGAAAGTAGTAATTAAAATAAAAATAATGGAATGAAATGAGACATGTACGTAAGAAAAGTAAGAATAATGGTGAAAGTAGTATTGGGACTATAATATTGATAATATTAATAATAATAATAATAATAATAATAATAATAAAAGTTTAAGAATGATAAAAATTATAATGATAATATTAAAAATTTTAAATCAATTAAAAATATAATAAATTATGATAAAAATAAAAATAAAATATTTTCAATAAAGTGATTAGATTAAAGTGATAAAGAGAACAAATAATGAGTGATATAATAATAATAATAATAATAATAATAATAATAATATTATTATTATTATTATTATTAAAATAATAAACAATAAAATAAAGAAATTATTTAATATCAATTTATCAAATAATTAATTATTACATGATAAATATTAATAATCCAATGAAATAAATAATTTATTAGTTTAAATTTTAGTGATATACATTTTAATGCTTTTTTAAACTCAAAATCCTATCCAAAAGTTTACGTCTATATAACGTTTATATATTAAGTATTTAATCAAATTTTATAAATACATATAATACTACTTAATAATAATAAGTTATTATGGTATTAAATTAAATTTCAACAATTACCTTAAAATTATTAAATAATAAATGCTCATATATTAAATTAATTCCATCAACAAATTTGCATACTAAATTAAGGCTCACCAATGCATTTAAAATTATTTAACAATAATATATACTTACAATATTAAATTAAGTTCCACCAATGCATTAAACTATTAATAATAATAAATTCTTACAAAGTTTTAGTCAGTGCATTTATAAATTCTTACAAAGTTTTCGTGCATTTAGAAATATTTAACTGTAACAAAATGCTTACAACAATTAATAAAGTTTGGCCAATGCAATTAAAATTATTTAATGATAATAAATTCTTACAAATATGAAATTAATTTTTATCAATTATTAATTCATAAGAATAAAAGTATCACCTCTGTGTTCAATTTTTGGCAAGTATTATTGTCGACGGACTACACGATCATTTTACCAGTAACAGGGTATATAAGGTATATAACTTATATTAGTATATTAAAGTGGGTGATGTGGGACAAAGTTGAAGCAATAACATGAATTGAAGAAGAAGAGGAGAAGTGAAAATGGTGTACCTTGGCAAGTTGCAGAGGGTGGGTTGCCATCTGTATTTGAGGTAAAGATGATCAGGACGACCAAATTTCAAGCAGTTAAATTCAGAACGAATGTGAGGACAGGCTGAGGAATCATAGAGAGGATAAGAATCATCCCACACCCACTCTCCTTCATACATGTTGCATCCATTTTCATCTTTCTTCACTTCAACACCTCCTCCTCCACCACCACCAACCACACACCCCCATTCACACACACATATCACCCCCAACACCCACCAACCATACACCCTCATTCCCACACTCATCTTTCTATGATTCAAGATCAATTAATGGCTTTGAAGTGGACAAAGTTTTTGTTTCTCCTTCTCCTCAGAATGTATCAAACTCTGTTCTCTCTCCATCTCTTTATATACACACTTTACTGGTTTGCATTAACTCAGAATGTTTTTGTCTGATACGTAAAAGATTTAATATTACTTTACAAAACAAAAGTTTCTATTTTCTTTTTCTAAAATGACAAAACTTGAACTTTTTTTCATGTATTTATGACGAAGTTAATTAAGACTTACGAGAGATGGGAAATTGGGTATATATCACAGAAGGAATCTTAATTTACTTAGGTTAATAGTATAAATTAATACTAATTAAAATTACATTTATTATTTATATTTAATATTAAGTTATATATGTTTAGTGTTAATTTTTGTCTAAATGATAATTTGATTATCTTTGGTATTTTTATTTTTACTTCAGTTCAACAATTTCAGAAATTTTTTGATTTTATTTATATTGTTTAATTTCATTTACTTTATTCCAATTGAATCCTAAACCTAATATATTTTTTAAAAGTATCATTATGGAGTAATTTATATTTATATTCTTTTAAGATTAATTTTTTCTAAATTTAAAATTTATTTCTGTCTAATTCATATGTAATTTTGGTATTTATTTATACTTTATTTATACAATTTTAGTTCAATCTTCAATTTTACATTGTTTAATTTTTTCTTATTTTTTATTCATTCTTATTTTTACTCTTATATATTATATGACACGCAGCACGTAACCAAGAAAGAAAAAATTTAGGGGGCAAAAGTTTAAAAATTAATAAAGAAAAAAAAGCTTTTTTTAACTATCTATTTAATAATTATCTAAAATTTAGCTTAATAAAAATTAAAATATTATATTCGATGGAATAAATATAATAATAAATCAAAACTATTCACTTTTTTTTCAAAAAAATAAAATGAAAAATGAATCAATTACATTGCCATACTTCAATTATATTATAACTATTATTTTATTATAACTAAAATTAATCTATGTGCCAAATTAAATACTTAATTAACAATAAATAAAATTATTTGCAAAACAAAATGAAAAAATAAAATAAAAATCTCAACATATATTTTAAAAGTAAATAAACAATTCAAATCCTATACTTAAAATTAATATCCAAATTTTGAAAATTGCAGCATTATCTGACATGTATATTCCACAATAAATATTTGTAATGTAAATCAATTATAAGAAAAAGTAAATGTGTGTGTGTGTGAAAATTATTTCAATTAATAATTATAACAATTTAATAGAATAATGATTAAGTAATAAATAATTGATAGATGGTATGATGGAAGAGAAAGTAAGGTTTTTTATTGAGTTGAAAAGAAATGGTTGGTGACTAAAGGCACAATTTGTGGTCCTTTCACAAAAAGTGTCTCAATTTCACATGCAACACATGAACAACACCTCATTCAACACAACAACTATGTGTTTTTTTATAGATGTGGAATAAACAAGGAAACTTCAATTTGGTTGGTATGAAAAAATTACAAATTTCGGTTTTAAACATGGCAATATATTAATGCAATGCTCCAATTTTGGAAGGTAATTGAAAAGGACATTAGTTCAAACAAATTGGGTCCAACATTTTTAGTGATTATTCTTTATTTTGGATCTTGATTCACTTTAGTTAATAAGATCTCTCTTTTTTTAATTATGTTTTTTCATTTTTGAAATTTGAAATGTCAAAAATTAACATTGATAATGGTTTTAGTATATATATCCTATTTAGAAATTTTGATAATTATTAATTTTTTATTTAAATTATATTTAAGTAGCATATTGTCAAAATAATTTTTAAATTATTAGTTATCATCATTATGATATGTAAACTACTATGATTATTAATTGGGCTTTTTTTTTCTTGAATTTATCATTGCACGTAGAAGGTATGGACCACTATGTTGGGTCAAGCCATCTGTGAAACAATTATTTCAGCAAGACTTTTTTATCCCATAATTTCTTCCTACACCTCCATCCCTTAGTTATTTGAATTTTTTGTGTTATTACCACTCTTAAAGGTCTTTTTTAATAATTAAAGGTAAGTAATCATTAATATTATTTATAAATTATATGTTCCTGTACTCAAATTGTACAAATAGACCCATATTTTTTAATCTAAAATAGTATCGCAAAACTAGGTTGAATTTTGGAAAAGGTAATTCAAAAATACATTCAGGATTGAGTGTTTTTGAATGTATTTCTAGATTAGCTTTTTCGGAAACACATCCCAAAACACTCAATCCGAAATGTATTTTCGGATTGACCTTTCTAAAAATATATCCTGAAAGACCTATTTCAAAATGTATCTTCGGATTGACTTTTCTAGAAACATATTTCGGAACATCCATTTGAAATGTATTTCTAAAAACACATTCCATAACACCTATACTAGGATGTATTTATAGGAAAGTCAATCCAAAAATGAATTCCAGAACTATGTTTTCTGAGAGACCAATTCAAAATGTATTTAAAAAATAAAGATGTAAGGATAGAATGAGATTTAATTTAATTATATGGTGCAGGAAGCGTGAGCCTTGTTTCGACAATTTATACCCTAATGAATGCATCTACTTATTGGGCTCTAGGCCTAAATGAATGCATCTCCTTATTGGGCTCGAGAAGATTCACGTTTAGAATCCCAACAACAACAACAACGAAGATTTGCTTTTTGAGATCGTAAATAATTAAATCAAAGGCCCATCTCGCGAATTGAAATTTGAAACCTCTATCCTTAATAAATAATTAAAAGCTAACGTTTCTTAAAAAACAATTAATTTTTAAAATATAGATAATAAGCTTCAAAATACATGACAAAAGAATTTTTTATTTTGTATGTTTATAAAATATACAAAGAAAATATATTTATGCTGTGTATTTACACAATGGAAATGTGTTTTTTCTTAGGTTAATATAATATGAAAACATTTAACTATTAAATTATATTCTAATCGATAATATGTTTTCATTGTTTATAATTTCATATATCTTAATAATAAAGAATATAAAATGAGCAACTTTTGAAAATTCTAATATGTAATCAATTTTTTTAATCTTTTTATGCAAACTGCTTGATTTTATTAACTGTCTTTAGTACGTAATATATATTAAATTAAAGTGAGTAACATTAATAAATATTTAATTTGAACACATCTATTTATTACATTATTTATTCACAAATTTTAATAATTTATAAAATTAAATTAATTTTCTAAACCGATAAATCGTCTCTTAATATCTTAGTTTTTTTAATATTTAGATCTCTATAAAAAATATTTAAATTTACTATTGTAACATATATAATATATTTAAATAAAAGAAATTAAAAACCGTAATAGGTTTTCGGATTTAAATAAAATAAAATTAAAAGCTGAAATAGTTTTTCATACCTATATATAAAAATTGCATCGTTACCACAATCAACATTAATTATACCAATATTATTGTTCATATAAAAAATAGATTAAAATATAATTATTTATCAAAAATATTTTTAAATTTGTATTATAAATTTGTTGAATTTTAGTTTCTGGATATTTGTGTTGTTTTTATTTACCTAAAATAGATTTAAAATGAGAATTATTTTAATTAATTACTAAAACTAGTTTTAAAATCTAAAAAAATCAAAACATTTTTCTTTATTTACTTTATCACCTTCTATTTTCTACAATTTTTAAAATTTTTCTATTGTTAGGTTTGTTATTTTTTGAATTTGAGAGGAAGAAGAGGAGCGTACGTGAATGTGGAGTCTACGCCCATGGTAGGGCCCACTAGCGGCCCAAGTTTGCCGACCAAGACTTTGTCCTTTCCATAATGTTTTGTCTGTGCCTCCTAAACCTTAGCCGCAACAAAGATAAAAAAAAAGAACATAAAAAAATAATATTCAAAAGGAGGCCTAGAATTTGGATTTTATCATAAAAATAATATTTATAAATTATTCAATTCTTTTATTTCTTTTCGATACGAGACTTTATAATCCCTCAAATACTAATTTATATGAAAACCAGAATACAAGTACTTATTATACGTAAAAAAAGGTGAACTTTAGAACCAAAATGAATGCCGTGTATGGTTATATATGATCATATGTGTCAAAATAGTCTTAGTTGGGTTACGTGACACTACAAAATTGAGGCATATGGCATTGGATAGATCAGCTTAATCATCTGATTATGCAAAACTACAAAAGGGGTGGCAAGGTAGAACCAAACTCCACCGAGTAAGACTTTCCATAGCCCCTACTTAAAGCTTCAACCTCAAGAAAACTTTCATCAAAGGTTCAGTTTTTGAGTACTGTAGATATTGTTTGGTGTTGATGGCTGAGGAAAAGCAAGGACTAGGGACTAACCCTCGTCAGGAGCAACCCAGTGTGCCCTTGCCAAGTGAGTCCTATTCTTCCTCTTTTTAAACATATTTAACTCATATTTGGGTAAAATGAAGAAAAACAAGTGTGTTTGGTGTTTCAGGGAACTACAACCAGGTTTTGGGGACTAACAATCCTGGAAAGAGAAGTTGGCCTGAATTGGTTGGTTTGAGTGCTGAAGAAGCAGAGAGAAAGATAAAGGAAGAGATGAGTGGGGTTCAGATTCAAGTGGTGCCTCCTGACACTTTTGTCACTGCAGATTATAATCCTCAGCGTGTTCGATTGTATGTGGATGAATCTAACAAAATCACAAGAACTCCAGCAATTGCATAATCTATCTACTGTGTTTTTATATAATTAGTTCTTAGTCAACTCATGGTGATCTTATTTGTTTTGGTGTATCATGTTCCTTTTGTTTAATATGAATAAAACATGTTTCCTAGACCTATTTTAATGATACAACATGTTTTTTTGTAAGATTTAAGTTAGATTTAAAGAAGTGTGTTGAAAAAAATTGTAGTATTAAATTTGAATTATAATATATAACGGTTTTATGAAAATGAATTTAGACTTGAAATTCTCTATAAAGAAAAAAGAAAAATAACATTATAATCAGTAGTGACTCTGCATTGTACAAACTAGCAATTAAGTTATGAGTTAACTTAACATTTACCAACACAAATATATTAGTGCATCAAATACAAACATATATAACAAAGTAAACAACACGTAATTCAAGTTCACTAAACATTTTAGCTAAACAGCAACAACAAATTCACTTTCTGGAGCTTCACTCTTCATTTAACTTTTACAAGTTCTTCATGTTTGAAGCTGAGTTTATCCACGTTTCAGAAAGTTGGATATGCCAAACCAAATTTGCTTGTAATGGCACAGTTCTCCTCAGAGGTTTGGTTATGCTTCCCGTGCACGATTACACTTTCACTTGCTGAACTTTCATGCCATAGACTAACCAAAAAATAAAAAGGAGACAGAAATAGCCTCATCATAACTTTATGGTAAGCTAAAAGCTCAAGATCATACTAATATTTTAAGAAACTCAAACTTCGGAAGAATGAAAAAAATGTTTTGTGTTCAATTTTTACCTCAACAAGATCCATCAGCTACAAGCTTGAATTCTTCCTGCATGACCAAATGCTGAACTGTTTCTCACACGGTTTTCACATTTGGGTGCTGGCATCACCGTTTCAAAGGCTTCAACTAGCAGTGCCACCTTCTTCTTCCTAGCTGGTGCAAGTTTTGTCACAGCTTGTCTGAGTGCACAATCAAGCATCCATTCCTCTGAATTCTTTCTCTCGTCCATCATTTGATGCCTCAGATCAACCTTTTCTTGTTCTGGTTCAGGAACCAAGGCCAGGAAGTTTGGCTCTTTGGGGTTGAACTTTCTCATTTCATCATCATCTTCAACACCCCTCTTTCTCCTAATTGCACCTTTACTATTCTTGCTTGTGCTTTCCTCTTCACCACCTATGCAATTTGTGCTTTCGAACCTTCTACCTTTGCCTTGATCTTTTTCCAACAAATCCTGATCTTGTTCAGCTATACAACTTTCTTCAGACACATCCACCAACTCAATTTGGCTCTCTCTTTTATTGCTCTCATCATTATTCTCTAGGCTGCTTGAGCATCCATCTTCACTTGTCTCATCAATTGTGCTAGTTTCTCTCATCTTCTGACATTGAGTCTTGTCAATTGTCTCTTCATCAAGTGTCTGTGTGTTGCAACTGGCCCCATCATCCACATGTTTCTCATCTTCTCCACCTTTATCTTGTGCATTTGTCATATACTCAAATATTTCCTCTGTAAATGAAGATTGGTCACAACCCATACCTGTTGACGAGTACTCAATTTCTTGAGTTTCAATGCTTCCATTTGTGTCTTCAGGGACAGAACTGATGCCATGATGTTCTTCTTCAAAATGGTTGCTTTCTCCTGAATTGGGTTCTTTGTGAGTTTCATCGACAAGAAAGACCTCATAATAGTTACCAAGGATATCATCCAACCAAGTCACTGACACATCATGAGAACTCTCTGATGATGACTCAACTTTTGAGTCATTGTCCTCTTCTGTGTACACGGAAGAATCAGCATCCTCTTCGTGATCGAATCCGCAAAATCGCTCCTCCTTCCACTCCATTTCATAGGTTTTGGAATCAGAATCAACCATGTCAACATCACCCATGTCTTGTTCCCCATCGCTGCAGTAGCTTCCCATACTCATTTCTTCATAAGCCCAGACAATAGGCTGGCGATTTTCATCTGCATCTTCTGAATTTTGTTCTCGGAGAAAGCTTCCGTTGGTATCTACTTCAATTGCAACATCATCAAAGGATTTTTTCAAATCCTCCTCAAGATCAATTTCACATACAGAGGGAGAAAGAATACCAATAATTCTTGGAGTATTGACTTGCATGACACCCTCCTCGCTAGCTGCAATACCATTAGCTTCAATTGATGACTTGTTATCTTCTTGATCCTCAATCTCTTCGAGAAAATCTGTTCTCCCCATTTCTTCTACTCCTGTAGGTTCTGCATCATTTTTATTGGCATAGATTTCAATGAAGATATCAATGCCAATTTCATCACAAATAGATTTTTTCTTAAAACAATTCTTCTCAACATCAGAGTCCTTCTTATCTGTCTCAAGAGGAACATTCAGTCTCCTAGGGCTGAGAGCTTCAAGCTTGGCGCGTTTCTGCGTCTTCAAAAGGCGTCTCCTAGCTGACATGAAGCTCTTCAATGGTGGCAAATCAACGTGATGATGACCATTAAGAGAACAGTATGTGTAAGGGCAAACCTTCATGGCTGAAGTTCCCTCTGACTCAGTTCCCCCAGGGCTAAGCATGAGATATGAAGGGAACTTTGAGTCCTTCAAAGTTGAAGAACAAGTGGCTCTTTGTGGTGCAGTCATATCTGCACACATAGCGGCCCTGGTGGATTTTCTAGAACAAGCTCTAGAAGCCTTGAAACTAGTGGTTTTTGTCAATGTTCTCACCAAACTCAAACTAGATGATCTTGTCAAGGCTTTGGCAGGTTTTTTAGCACAGGCAGCTTTGGAATCACTGGAAAATTTGCTTGGAAGATTCTTAAAATCAGAACCAGATTGAGTGTTCCTGAGGCTTACCGGAAAAAGTTCCTTTTTTGCATGTGAACTGCTTGTTGGCTTCATGTAATTGGGTGAACCATCTGTTGTTCTGAACAAAGGTTGCTGCTTCTGCGGTGATGCTGAAGTCGTTGGAGTGTGAAGAGGGGGTGGCTTTGCTGGTTGAGGGAAGCTTCTCCTCGAAGGTGATGATGATGACTGAAGAGCCTCAAGATCAGAAAGCTTTATTGACCTTGATTTTTTCATTTTCTTCTTCATATCAGCCCCTCTACTTTTGCCATCTTGGTGCTGAGATGAAGATAGCTTCATGTTTGCCAACCTCTTGTCTGATTTAACATGTTCAGCTTGGATACCAAGCTTGCTAGGCACCTTTCTTTGAACCATATTCCAAGGATAAACCACAGGTTGAACAAGTGGGAATAAAGAATATTGGTTTGTTATGGTATGGTTTGTTTTCCTTCCTTGGCTTTGTGTAGTTCAAGCAGAAGAAGAAAGGAAATCTCGAGGTGGTTTTGTTTTCCTTATGAGGAAGTTCATAGAGGAAAGCAAAGAGAGGAAAGAAAAGAAAGGAAAGAAGGAAGGCTTGAAACCCAAACAACCAAAGAGAGATTCTCCCCTCTTGGTTTGGTTTGGTTTGGAATGCTTTAGTTTGGTGTGGGTTTTTCTTTTTGTTTATTCTCAAGTGTGTGATGATATTTGAATTTGGCTTTGATAAGTGTTTGATGCTGACTAGCACTAACAGGTGGTTTTTTAGGGCCCTTTTATGCTTAGCATTTTCTTACATGAATCATTAGTATTTTAAAATATGGGGATTTTTCATTGGTTGGCAACTTGATTTTCAATATTTAAGCCTAAAATTGTTGCTGATTTTGATTTCTTAACTCATCATCTTTCAGAAAATGGCCAAATTACCCCTCTCTTGTGTTTGGATAAGGAAACCCTGTGGCCTTCTGTAGGTGAAGAGATGAGGACAAGATGCATTAATGTATTGCTTTTGTTTAAGACACTTTTGAGTAATGTGAATTTGGCTTTACTAAGGAAATTCATTTGATTCAGGAAACAAGTATCATGGCTTCTGCTTTCCAATCAATAGTTCAACAAACTTGTGATGCTGCTACATAAACAGAATAACAATAACTCTTTTGATTCTGCTTCATGTACAGAATCACAATAACTCTGTTATGGAAATGCTACTTGATTTATCAAAAAGAATTGATGCAAGGAAAACTCTACATGAAGAATATTCCTTCATGTAACACATTCTGGTTATTGTAGGGAGGAGTCTATGTTTGAAATGAGAGAAAAGTAGGTGGCAGTTAGTAGATCTGTTAGCTTAAAAAAATCAACTTTGGGGTTGGAAAACCTTCAATGATCATAAATTCAATGTGTGTGTTTCAACTTATATTTTCCTTAACAATGAAGTTTCTGTTTCAAATTTCAATGAATATTGTGTTACAGAGTTTTAAGTATTTAATGAGAGAAGGTTAAAAAACCACACTTGGAATATTGTGGTGATTGTGATTTCAATGGATTATAAATTCAGTTGGTTAATACGACGAAGCTTTCGAATTTTATTTTATTTAAAAATTATGATAATAATAAGAAGTTGACATCAGTAGCTGTAGAACGAAACACTTTTTAATATCTACAGCGATATTTAAATATAATTCCTAATTTCGTATCAAGATTTTTTTACGTAATAAATAAAATTCAATTTTTTCTTTCTCTAAACATGAATGACCTATTTTTTATTTATTTCAAAGGCTAACTATGGAAACAAATAAATTATTTCAGATAACTCGATTTCGGTTAAGAATGAAAAAGTTTTTCACAATGCTAAGACTTTCGTAAAAAAAAAAAATTGTCCATTTTTCATTCAAAATCAAGATGTTAGAGTTAATTTTTATATTTGAAATGGATTCGTTTTATCGTTTTTATTTATAGTATTTTTATTTTTAAGAGTTTTCATATATTAAAAAATATAAATTATTTTTAATCAAAATTTTTAAATAATATGAGATACATTAATAAAAAAATATGACATTTTATTTATTATAAAAATATTAAATTTTATAATAATTAAATATATTTAATTAGTTTTAAAACAATATAAATAAGAAGTTAAATAAATTATTTTATAATATTTTGTTTGTCTAAATTTATCCTAATATTTTATACTACAATAGAAAACACATGTGACTGTACTGAACAGTAACTCATGGCCAAGCAGGGCAAATTTTTCTTTTCTTTTCTTTAACTTTTGGTTTTTTTTGTTAATGCTTGTGGCAAGAAAAGTTTAGGAGGAAAAAAAGAAAAGCAGTATGGAAAAGACAAAGGCTTGTGGTCGGCAAACATGGGCCGCTGGTGGGCCCTACCACGGGTGTATGCGGGCCCAATATTTGCAGACGCTCCTCTTCTTCATCTCATCCCAACATTCAACCAAATAATAAAAATAAAGAATAAGATTCAAAGAAAAATAATAAAACTAACAATTAAAAAGATTAAAAGAAATAATAAAGCTAACAGAGGACAGAAAGTGATAAAGCAAAGAAAGACAAGGAGAATACCCCAATTAGATACGCCACCGCCCCATGCCACCTTAATGGGTCCTAAACCTATTTTAATACTACCTTAAATTCAAAGGAACCCTTCAATAATTAGGTCATGAATTCTAACCCCTTCTTCTTCTTTTCAAATTGCTTTGAACTTGATACAACTCCAATGTGATCTCCTCAAAAATAAAAAATAAAAAAAATGTTAATGGAGTCAAAATTCTTTATTATTCTCACAAGTAACCTTCAACACACAACAACTAAATATTTATATTTATAAATCATGACTGAATTTTTGAATTTTTATAATATCTCTTTTTAATAACATTACACTAAGCTATTTCAATCGTTTAACAATAATACGTTTAATTTTTGTATAAAAATAATGTTACTATAAATGTAAAAAAAAAAAAACGTGTCTGTAAAAGTGTGATTTATTCTTTAAATATTTAGTTGATAAGTGAGAAAATTAAGTTGAATATATTCAACTTTTTTTTATTTTTTTATAAAAATAAATTTTGAGTCATGGTTAACAAAATTGAGTGGATATAATTAAAATTTTTAAAACGTAATATTTTTTGGTATTATTTGAAAAAGAAACATAAAAATATCATAAAATTAAAAAAAATTATTACGATTTATTTTTTATAAATAATAACTGTGCAAGAAAGAAAAAAATATAATACATGATTAATTAATGAAAAAAGTAATATGTTTAAAAAATAGAAAAGAAAAAAATTTTAAATTTTTTTTAAAAATAAAATAATTATAAAAGTATAAATACGTAAGCATTTTAACGCTTATATCCAAACTTTCGCTCTTGAATTAATTCTTTATTTTTATTTTTTCACAAATTTTACAAAGATTTAATTTAAAGTATAAACATAATTAAGTATCAATATATCAATCATGAATGAAAATGTTTCATGCGGTTAATAAATATACCTAACTCATTGGGATTATAAAAAACTCAAAACCAAACCCTAATTTTATTAATTTATCCTCGTTATATATATATATATATATATATATATATATATATATATATATATATATATATATATATATATATACTGTAATCTTATATATCTTTATCCGTAAAAATTCAGCATCTATAATAAAATTATAACAATTTATGCATGCTCAAACAATTGAGTAACACTTAAATATTATTATATAGATATGAAGAAGTTGACAACTAATAAAAAAATTATGATGTGACAAAAAGGAATATAATCAAAATTATTGTTAGGGATGTGAATGGTACGGTTTGTGCTCCCTCTTTTATTTCTATTCTTTCAAATTGATCGACTTACAAGGAGAAAAATAAACATATTTAATGATAAAAATGGGTGGGCATGAATATTTAATTTTATTCAATATTTTATAATAATATGCATTAATTTTAAGTAATTCTTTAAAATATATAAAGGCTTGCAAATATCACCACCCAATCCTCTGATTCGAAAATGAAAAAAAAAAAAATCGAAAAAGAAAGAGTAAGAAAGGAAAATGATTTACCAGATCAAAGAAAAAGAAAGCCATGAACGTGATGCATTAAAGTAACTTTCCATAAATTGTGAAGTTCAATGATCTTAAAATTTATCAACGAAACTTAAATACAAAATTACTTCAACCCTTTCACGTAGGTAATGTTATATTTTTATATCTTCCAATTTTGTAAAATCTATAATATGGATGACATAATGTAAAATTGTCATTAATATATTTTTATTGTAAAATATAATTTTTTTCTCTATATATTGTTATTCTTTTAATTTTGGTTCGTTATCTTTTTATTTTAAAAATTATTTCAATAAATTAAAAAAAGTATAAATTATTTTTTACTTTGATTCTTAAATAATATATAAGTCATAAATGTATTAAAATATAACTCTTAATCCTAGATTAAGATATATAAGTAGTGTAAAATTTTAATCTCGACTTAAACAGTAATATTTGATTTAAGAATAAAAATACGTCTATTGTTAAGTCTATTGTTATATTTTAGATATTGTTTATTTTAAAATTTTAAATAATGAAAATATTAAATCCAAACCCTCGTTTTTAGAAAGATCAATATTCATGTTTAATTAATTAATGTATTTTACTAAATATGAAAATTTTAAAAATAGATTACATATTATTCCTAATAATATATAAGGAAAAAAATGTTTTACATTACTTTAAAAGTGAGAAGGTCCAGTTTATGATGAGTAATGATGCCTAAGTGTCATCTCACTAAAAAGTCGCGTGGGGTATACACGTGCATTGTCAGTTGTTGTTTCTAATTATATCTTAATTATAAAAGGGAGTTAATTAGAGATAAGAGGGAGTGTAAATAGCACTCTCAGTCTAGTAACAGCCGTCCTAAACCCACTTGAGCCCAGTCTGGCTCGGCCCAACCCATTTTCTGCTTTTTCTTGCGAAAAAATTGAAGTTTGTGCATTGAAGAACTTCTTCACCATGCCGCGCGAACCGAAGAGTATGGGCGTGAAGATCCTATGGATTTGGACTTTTGGAACCGCTGCTAGTAACATCTATTATCATCTTTTTTCCTTCAATTATTTCGTCACCATTAATCACATTCACTTGATTCATTTTGTTTGCTCACAGTCCTAGTTACAAACGCGATGCGCACCAGAATTAGAGACATGGAGGCACTCATGAATGCCGAACCACAACAACAGCAGCAGCAGCACGATGCCGCTACCACTGACTCGTCTTTGGCGGACACGTTCATTCTCCCTTCCGACTCCGTCATTTCAGACGATAAAGATTGATTTGCACTGTTTTCGATTCGGTCTTGGAGTGTGAAGCGATGGTTAAACTTGCCGAGGATAAAAGGGCACGCAACGTGTTTGTTGACTGTCCTAACTGAAAACCAAGGCTGAACCGCCAGCGAAATTTGGAACCCAGCCACTATGGTGATTTTTTTTACACTTTATTTTGCCATCAATTTTTGTGGCATGTGTTTTACACTCTATGTTATGAGATTAGCATAAGTTATTATTTAGATTTAGATGCTGATATTTTTAATACTTTTATAAGTAATATTTATAAAATTTCTTTAACCCAACTTGAAAGTTATTAAAATAACTTGATTGATATATGCAACTTAATTACATTTAACTTTCAAATTATTTAGCTAAGAAATATTTTTCTTTTGTTCATGAAAATCCTTAGGAAGATAAATTTAAAGGAATAAAAGTTGTTGCTTTATACGATTCAGTTTGCAAAATACTATTCTTTCCAAATTTGCAAAAAATTAGCTTACAAACCAATAAGCCTACTGAAAATCATATTAGAAGCTTTTCAATGTTACTTTCTAAATGTACGATAGGAAGTCCCAACTAAAATCAAATATAAGAAAACTATCGGTTGATCTTTAGGTCAAAACCTTTTTTGAGGAAACTTGACTAAAATCTATTTCTCAAAGCCTGATTTTTTCACAATGTTATTTTCTAAAAGATAAGTAAACATGAAAAAAAGAATAATACTCTTCTAGCGTTATATTGGAAACTAATGATTCTCTCATATCAAAAGCCTCAACCTAAGTTAATTGTGCTTATTACAAACACGCTATTATTTTAAATTTAAATAAAGTTTTATTCTTCTAAAATAATATTGTCTTTACAATTTTAATATTATAATTATATTATTATGACTTAAATATCTTTTCCATTTATGTAAAATTGAAGAATTTTAATCTTGATTTCTATAATTTTTTATTTCTCTTCTGTAAAATTTGAAATTATAATCTTTATAAACTATGTAAATTATTATTAATATTTTTATCTTTCCAAAATTTTAATTATTGTTTTCAGGTCTTTAATGTTGATTTTATGATAAATCGTAATGATGATTTAACTTTGTTCTCCCAACACAAATAATTAGAAGTGTCAAAATGTTAATAATAAGAAATGACGGTTTTTAATCTTAAAAGAAATAAAAAAAATTATGGGATCAAAGTCACAATTTATCCATCTTACATAAGCTAAAAACATATTAAAAATGTAAATTAAATAAATATTAATTTATATTCTACATTAGTATATAATTCATTAAAAATAATATAATAAAATAATTTTAGTTTGTATAATTAAATATTTACCCAGGTAAGAAATTAAAATAAGTGTTTTCGTCTCTCTTCCAATCCTTCCGCTTAGCCTCGTTATTTCTTATCCATCATCCATCTTATACTAAACCAACCAACCCCTTTTCCCTTTCTCAGAGAAGCAGTGTGTGGCCTTTATCTTTCCACCACTTCACTTGCGATGGCTGCAGCGTCAATGTCTATGACCTTCAATCTAGCAGCAGCATTCAAGGGCCTCTCCTTATCTTCTTCCTCTTCCTCCTCCTTCTTCGGCGCCACTTCTCTCAGCGCGGGTCCCACCTCTCTGGTCTGCCTCCCTCGTCGCCGCCCGCTCACCATCGAGAACGCCCACAAGAAGGGAGCCGGAAGCACCAAGAATGGCCGTGACTCGCAGAGCAAGCGCCTCGGCGTCAAGATTTACGGTGACCAGGTCGCCAAGCCCGGTTCCATCATCGTTCGCCAGCGCGGAACCAAGGTGCCTCCCTTACGACTTTCTCTTTCGCTTTTCGGAGAATTCCAATTTTGACGTTGTAATTCACGTTAGTGAAGAGTGTTGTTTTTTCTTTACTAGTTTGAACTTCTAAAAGAGAAAAATACGAAAGAAAAAAAAAATTTACTTTTGTAAGTTAAATTAGCTTGTGTACATATATCATTTTATTTTATTTTTTCAAGTTATATATAAACTAATTTTAACTTTTTTTTTGCAGTTTTTTTTTCTTAGAAGTTGTTATCGAAAAACTATTCCAAACATATTCTAAATGAAACAATTGTCTTATTAGAGTGTATTCAGATAAGCTAATTTGTTTTAAATCTTATTTTTAATTTATGCACAATAATTAAGTTTGGTGATTTTCTATATGAATTGGGTGGAATGGGGGTGGATTTCATTTTGGAGAGAAACTACTTGAATGTTGAGCTTTTTCGATGAACTTCCCTGTGGTGTGTTGGAGTTTCACCTTGGTAATGGATGGTAATCTTTAATGCAATCCTTTATAGACATTACTGGTTTAAAACTTTAGTTCTGATTAGAGAACATTACCAAAAGCACATGAGGAATTGGCTTTTTATGAAGGACAAAACTTAGGTGCTGAATCTAATGTGTTTTTTGGTGTATGTCTTGAAATTTTTGTAATATGTGCAATAAAGGTTGATGTAGTTATTAATCAAGATAAAATTATAATTTTAGTTGGAGGATAAGACCATAAGAACACAAGGTATAGTGCTTAAGAATTGTTTGTGGTTGAAAGAAATAGTTGCGATAGTCTCAGTTGATGGGTTACATACTGATGTGATCTGGATAGAAAAAAATTCACTTCAAGAAGATTAACTAGAAATGGAGATTGGGACTATGAGGAAGAAAACTATATGCTTTTTCCAAGAAATTATAAAATTATATTTTCATGTAATAGATATTTCTTTGGATACAAGGATAACTTATGGTGTGCTTGGCTATTCCTTAAATAGTTTAGTCTTTTGATTTGTTTGGACATAAGGGTGGGAAGGAGCTTGTTTGCGCACTCCTTCCACATAGCCAACCTCTATAAATAGAGAGCTTATGTACACTTGACCACATCTTTGAATGATCCATTGCCTTCATAATCTTGGCTTATCTCTTTTGTGAGTGATGCCTACCCATTTCAAATGTCATAGTGTGAACTCCATTTTTAGAGTCATTTCTTCCTTCTATAAAGGTATAACCTCTATCCTGGCCTCCTTCTTCCTAGTCTGACTTCAATTCTCGGTTTTCTCTCCTCTCTTGGCTAATCTTGGTGCAAGCATACTTTCTTCATAGCAACCAAGAACCACCATTCACCAACCAAGAATTCATTCATACGTTGCCCCCACCTCACGGCCAAGGTGTTCCAAGAACCAATTAAGAAACCCAGCCAAAGTTCCTTAAAGCTTGAAGTTGAAGGTCCAATCTGTTCTTGAGGCATAAGTGGTTCTCTATCACATACACTTGCAGGGTAACAGTTTTGTGTGGCCTTCTGTTGTGATTTTCAAATGGTGAATGAAGATTGATGGTTTGCGATGGTGATGGATTATGTATCCAGCTTTTCTTGCTTTTGTGATTTATTGATTCAATGCTTCATTGAAATTGTCAAATAGTTTATTACTGAATTGGCGCCTGGAATAAGAATTTACATGAATGTGCGTTAGCAACCACATCTGTAATAATCAATGTTTAGTGCACTATCCAATGGCTAGAAAAATGAATACAAAAAGAACAAAGAATGAATAGGGTCTTCTTACTAGCTGACGTGCCTTGTGCAATCAACAATACTGCAATAGTTTCTTTTGATGATTGCTTATTATACTAGAGCTATTCCATAACTTTTGTAACACACTTTATAGACCGGAAGAACTTCCTTTGTTCAGTGTTATGATGGTATTGCGGGAGTAATGGGCATCTCATAATCACAGATGCAGTCTATTATCAATCTGTTCAGTAGCAGAACCAGAAGAGAATAAATTTTATTTTGAGGGAGGTCATGGATGAGAAGTGAAAAACAATAAAAAATTTTCGTTTTTAATCTTAAATCTTTACAAAAGGGAAGTAAAGGCACCCTACAACATAACTTCCTACACCCAAAATCTATTATGCCTTTGTTACAACAGTTTTCTTTTCATACTATCTAATTTAAGTGCCATTCTCATTGTTTCCATCATCTAATTATTTTTCTATGCAAACCTTGAAGTTTCATGCTGGGAAGAATGTGGGGCTTGGCAAAGACTATACCATCTTCTCCTTGATTGACGGAGTTGTAAAATTTGAGAAATATGGACCTGACAGGAAAAAGGTTAGATAATTTTTTTACAACTAGATGATGTCATGTGTCCTATAATCTAGAGAATACAAACTAATGTGCTATGCAACTTGCATTACTACAGGTGAGTGTTTATCCTCGAGAGGTACAGCCTGAGAATCCCAACAGCTATAGAGTAAGGAAGAGAGAGTACTTCAGGCTGCAGCGGGAACGCAAGAAAGCTAGACAAGATGCAGCAATAATTCGATCCCAGCTTGTTCTGGCATTTGCTGATGATGCATCAATCACTAATCCAATCTGCTGATTCTGATTAGATCACTTTACTCTGTAAAATACCCGTTTCTATTTTTTGCTCTTGTGTATCTGTAAAACTTGTAACATTTTATTGAGTTTTGATGAAGTATTACTTAAGAAAACTTATTTAGGGTTTCATGCAATGACCAAAGACAATAATACATTGTATTTATAGAAAAAGAGGTACAATAGAGAGGATATGAGTCTCAGTCCAAACCCTTAACCCTAGTCTAAAGAACATTGAAAAAGAATATTAAAAGATACATAAACAACAGATCTCAACACTCCCCTTCAAGCATGAGCATACAAATTGTATGTACCAAACTTGAAATAAATGAATTAAATCTTGGGTCCTCTTAAGCATTAAGTTAAAATATCTTGATTTTTAATTTCAATGAAAAAGAACACAAAAATGGACAAAAGTTCAAATCAATCTCAAAATAAACCCAAGTACATTTAAAAAATTCATCAATAAATGTCACAAAACTGAAAGTAAAAAGAGGAAATACGACTTGGTCCTAAACATCAGAATGAATATTTGAAAAGGAAAATTACATCGACTTTGAAAAGTAGACCTAACATGTTTTTCTAATTAATAAGATTCATACTCTAAAACCCGAAGATGTTGAAGATTAGGAGTTATCACTTTCAACTTAGATAGACTTGGGTGACCCATACGATCATGCAAAAGTTTAGTGGCAGGAGAAACCAGACAAGACACCGAAGGACTTGGTTTTAGATAGTACATACCATGTGATTCATGTCTTTCTCCAATTAAACGACTTATACCATGTTCCTAAATAACAAAAAAATTGCAAGTAAATATTACAGAATAATTCAAAGAACGAGTAAATTGACTTAGAGAGATCAAGTTATAAAGGCAATTAGGAATGAAAAGAATAGAATTTAAATTTAGAGATGAGGTTAAAGGAACGTGACCAATACCTTGAGATTTCACTTTGGATCCATTAGCTACAATGATTAAGTGAGGAATTTTAGGATAGGACATGAAGGAAAACGATGAACTACTACCAAATATATGATCAGAGGTACCTGAATCAAGAATCCATGAGTTCTGACCTTCCACGGATTGAGAAATGCATGCAGTTGAAACACTTGACATTGAAGAGGATTGACCTTGTCTATTAAACTTTCCAAATTTGAACTTCAAAAACACTTGATACTCCTTATCAGAAATCTTCATATATGGCTTCTTCGATTTAGATGCATGGGCAGTCTTATTAGAAAAGCTATGCAAGGAATAACAATTTTCCTATGTATGTCCCATCGTTTTACAATAGGTGCATTAAGGACCAACTTTCGAACTACTACATCCATCTCGATTGTTGCGTCCTCCCCCTTGACCCCGAGGGACAACCATAACAGAAGTTTCAAGAGTCTCTACCTGATTCTCATCAACCATGAGATTATGAACCCGAATCAACCTAGTGACTAGATTATCCATTGATGGAACATGATTGTCAGCTAGGATTTAATCACACATGTGATAAAATTTAGAATGCAGACTTCTCAAAATTAGAATCATATATAGTTTATCGAGTTTGGTGTTTGATATGAATCCCAAGGGGTGATTTAGGATCTTTAGGGTTAGAACCTTGTAAGAAATTTAGGAATTAGAAAGAAGGTGAAAGGAAATAATCACTCTTCCCAAGGGAGGCAACACACAAAGGATGTGAAAGTCCTTTGATACAGCCAAGGGTTTTTGAATCACTCAAGAGTTTAGGAGAATTACTCTCACTAAGATAAAAGAGATAAACTCTAATATTTCTGAATAAAATTTCACTTGTTATTTCTTGATAAAAATGGTTCAACTGATATAGAAGCGTTGCCATCAGAATTACAAAGACTCAATAAAAGAAAATAAATACTAATAATAACTCATTAATCTAGGAATTGAAAATTATTTAATGGAAACAAATAAGGGCTAATAATGCTTCATTAACCTAGGAATTGAAACTACTTAATGATTGTTTATATCTGAAACTGTGGCAACCAAAAGTCAATAAGTTATGCACTCGTTGGTCTCCCAAATGCTGATGATTAAATTTTCAATTGGGCCCTTATTACAACTTAAAACAAAATCAAACTAAAACCCATTAATTGATTAATTCAAAACATAATTTGGTCAACCAACAATATTTGTTTAAGAGCTTCCTTTATTTCCCTTGCTTTAGCCCTTATCATAGGTCATGTTCACATCACTCTTTTAGGGCCATTTTTTATCTAGGAGTTTTGAGTAATATTGTAACATTTTTAGAATTTAGTTTTTGTAGCGACACCATTAAGAAATTTGTACAATTTTGTGTGTTGGGGAGAATTTTTAGTAAGAAAATTCTACTGCACTCTTTTAGGATCTATAATTTATTTTCTCCGTTTTTAGTAATAATTTTAACTTTTTTGGAATTCGGTTTTTGTAGTTACACCGGTAAGAAATTTTTACAATTTTTTGTGCTGAGTAAAAACATTCCACTACAGTGTTTCAAGCTCAAATTCTTACTTTTCTAGTAGTTTTGTGTTGGAAAATTTTAGTAATAATTTTTTGTACAATTTGTACAATTTTTTGTGTTGGGAAATTTTTTTAAAAAAATTTCACTCCACTCTTTCACATATTGTTTTTTTTTCTAGTGTTTTTTGTGTGGAGTTTTTTCAGTAAAAAATATCCTCTGTGGTGTTTGAAGCTCATTTTTTTATTTTTTCTATTTGTTTTGAGTAATATTCTTACTTGTTCGGAATTTAGTTTTCGTAATTACACCGAGTGAGAAATTTCTATATTTTTTTTGTGTTGGAGATTTTTTTTGATAAAAAAATTTCACTACATTCTTTTAGGGCCATTTTTTTTTCTAATATTTTTGAGTAATATTGTAATATTTTTGGAATGTAGTTTTCGTAGCTACATCATTGAGAAATTTGTACAATTTTTTGTGTTGGGAAGAATTTTTAGTAAGAAAATTCTACTGCACTCTTTTAAACTCTATATCTTATTTTCTATTTGTTTTGAGTAATATCTTTACATTTTTGGGGTGAAGTTTTCGTAGTTAGACCAGTCAGAAATTTTTACAATTTTTTGTGTTAAGTAAAAACATCCACTGCACTCTATCAAGCTCGTTTTTTTATTATTATTTTTCTAGTAGTTTTGTGACATATTTTTACATTTTGGAAATTTAGTTTTCTTAGTTACACTAGTCGAAATTTCTACAATTTTTTAACATGGAGAATTTTTTTAAAAAATTCGACTTGTACTCTTCCAAGCACTTTTTTTATTTTCTAGTAATTTTGTGTTGAGGTATTTTTGAAATTAAAGAATTGAACTACACTCATCAAGCTTTTTGAAAAAAGAGTTCTAATAGTTTTGAGTAATATTTTTATATTTAAGGAATTTAGTTTTCGTAGTTACACTAGTCGAAATTTCTACAATTTTTTGTGTTGGGAAATTCTTTTAATAAAAAAAATTCAACTGCACTATTTCAAGATCATTTTGTTTTTTTTATTAGTTTTAAGTAATATTTTTACATTTAAACATTTTAGTTTTCGTAGTTACACCGGTAAGAAATTTGTACAATTTTTTGTATTGGAGAATTTTTTTATAAAAATTCACTCCACTCTTTCAAAGCTTATTTTTTTTTCTAGTGGTTTTTTTGTGTAGTTTTTTCAGTAAAAAAAATTCCTCTGTGGTGTTTGAAGCTCATTTTTTTATTTTTTTATTTGTTTTGAGTAATATTCTTTTTTTTTTGGAATTTAGTTTTCGTTATTACACCAGTGAGAAATTTCTATATTTTATTTGTGTTGGGGATTTTTTTTGATAAAAAAAATTCACTACACTCTTTCAGGGCCTTTTTTTTCTAGTAGTTTTGGGTAATATTGTAACATTTTTGGAATTTAGATTTCGTAGCTACACCATTGAGAAATTTGTACAATTTTTTGTGTTGGGGAGAATTTTTACTAAGAAAATTCTACTGCACTTTTTTAGGCTCTCTAATTTATTTTCTCTGTTTTTAGTAACAATTTTACATTTTTGGAATTCGGTTTTTGTAGTTATACTGGTAAAAAATTTCTATAATTTTTTGTGTTGGGTAAAAACATTCCACTACAGTGTTTCAAGCTCAAATTTTTATTTTTCTAGTAGTTTTGTGTTGGGAAATTTTAGTAATAAAAAAAATTACACTACACTTTTTCAAGCTCATTAGTTTATTTTTCTATTTGTTTTGAGTAATATTGTCACATCTTCGAAATTGATTTTTCGTAATTACACGAGTTCAAAATTTCTAAAACTTTTTGAGTTGCGTAATTTTTTTCATAAAATTAATCCACTACACTATGTCAATGTCGCTTTTTTTTTTTCATTTTGAGTAATATTGTAACATTTTTTTAATATAGTTTTCGTAGTTTCACTAGTTAAAAATTTCTATAATTTTTTGGGATGGGAAATTTTTAGTAAAAAAAATTTCACTCCACTCTTTTAAGTTATATATCTTATTTTCTATTTGTTTTGAGTAATATCTTTATATTTTTGGAGTTAAGTTTTCGTAGTTAGAGGAGTAAAAAATTTTTACAATTTTTTGTATTGAGTAAAAACCTTTCACAACACTCTATCAAGCTCATTTTTTTTCTAGTAGTTTTGTGACATATTCTTACACTTTGGAAATTTAGTGTTCTTAGTTATACTAGTCAGAAATTTCTACAATTTTTTAAATGTAGAATTTAAAAAAAAAATCTATTGCACTCTTTCAAACTCTTTTAAAAAAAAAAATTTCTAGTAATTTTGTGTTGAGGTATTTTTGAAATTAAAGAAATTTTTGTGTTGAGGTATTTCTAGTAATTTTTGTGTTGAGGTTCTTTCAATAAAACAAATTCAAGTGCACTCTTTCAAGATCGTTTTGTTCTTTTATTTTACAATTTGTTTTGAGTAATATTTTTACATTTAAGCATTTTAGTTTTCGTAGTTACACCGATAAGAAATTTGTTCAATTTTTTGTGTTGGAGAATTTTTTT